TGCCTCATCATCGGATTTCTCCAGCTTCGCGACCCGCCAGTGCTTCCCTCCCTTCACCAGCGACAGCATCAACGGCTCCCTAAGAACGGCGGGCCCGAGAGTGCATTCGCTGATGACATGGACAAGCTGAGCGGATTCGGCGCAAAGAACGAGGCGTCTCTGGGTGAGCTGTTGTTCGCGTTCTTCCGCTTCTACGCGTACGAGTTCGACTACGATAAGTACGTTATATCGATTCGTCTTGGGCGGAAAGCAACGCGAATGGAAAAGAAATGGCACATTGGCATAAATAACTATTTGTGCGTGGAGGAGCCATTCAACACCGCTCGCAACCTGGGCAACACCGCGGACGAGTACTCATTCCGTGGTCTCCATCTGGAGTTGCGACGAGCGTTTGACCTGATCTCTGAAGGAAAACTGGGTGAATGCTGCGAGCAATACGTCTACCCCAAGGAAGAGACACCGGTGTTCCAGCGCCCTCCAAATACTTCGAGGCCCGTCATGATCCGTAGTTCTTCTCAGCAACACTCTGGCAGAGGCCGTGGAAACTTCCGTGGAGGCCGACACTCGAACAACTTCCAGCGGAATACGAACTCGAACAGGAGAGCTTCGTCAAGCGTTGCCTACGACACCAACACCATGTACATGCCTCAAGTGGCTATGACTCCCCAGGATCTTGCGTGGTACGCGCAACAGGCACAGTCCCATCAGCAATATCCCGCGCTTGTAGGTGCAGCCATGGCCGCCCAGGTTCAGCAAGAAAATAACATTCGGTTCCAGCTCTATACTCAATCCCAGGTTTATCAGCAAGTCCAGGCCCAGATGGCCGCCCAAATGCACGCTGCTCAGAGGATGCAGGGGTCCTCCTCAGCAACGCAGCAGGGTCCGGAACGGTCTAGGACCAACTCTTTCGACAATCCGCCCCTGAGTGCTCCCATCGCTGGCCCTCAAGATTGGTACAGCATGTATGGAGTACCCATGGCGGCGTATTACGGCCAGTCAAGCTTCGCGTATCCCTCTTCACCGGCGACGGTGGCAACTACCACGCCAGAATATCGAAGAGGTCTTCAAAGATCGTCAGCGACAACAGAGTCGGGCGTCTCGACTTCCGGAAGCTCACTTAGGTCTCAGTCACAGCCTGCCTCCCGCTCTGCCCCAACAGCACAGCACAATCAGGCTTATCCAGGAACCAGCACGCCGATGAACACCAGTTCAAATCCCACTCGGCAAGTGAATGGAATCCCGGTCTCGAACGGCGTTCCAGGTGACGCTGAATATGACGAAGCCTCTCAGGCCCCAGCGAGCAATTCGCCTGCCTCTGACGAAGGAGCTTATTTGGGTTACTACGTTTCAGATGCCTCCAGCCCGGCGCGCTCCCAAGTAGCGCCCAACGCCATAGCCTTTGCGGACACGACTCAGCCAGCCCAAGGACGTCGTCGGTTGTCGACCGAGGTCCCGCAGACTATTCTGGACCGCAGAATGCGAAGAACATCTCGTTCACCGTCTCCCCTTGGCCATGCCCGGGCGTTCTCTGGAGGTAACTCGGTAGCACCCGCTCCAGTGGTTGCTTCTGGCAGTACAAACGGTCCTCGAGCAGCTTCGCGGCCTTTGATAGTCAACGGTACTGGATCATCTCTGCGCACGAGTTCAACGCCATCACAACGTCACAATCCTGCCGTGATTGCGACGGAACCAACGCCAGCTGACGACCAAGGCCGTTCATCTCAAGAAAACACGCTGCAAGTTCAAGGTCTCGGAATCAGCGGCTACGTCTCAGAGCAGTTGGATGGCCAAGCTTTCCCCAGGTCTGAACCAGTCCAGACTCCCGTGTCTGAGCGGACCCCGGTGATTGTCAACGGTACTACCACGCCATCGTCGACTACCAATGCGACTGCCTCGGCCTCACCTGCTTCTGTTTCTGCGCCCCAGCAGTCTGCATCCCAGCCGATCGACGACGCTTCATTCCGTGATAGGATTGCACTCATGTCGATGAATCAGTATGCTTGGTCACCGCAAGCTCAAGTGCAAACGCAGCCATATCCAGATGTCGCAAACGGAACGCAGACATCCCTTCGTCAGAGAGCGCTGTCGAGACAGCAAAGTGGAGTAATAGCGCCACTCGATCTCGCAACTCGAGAAAACAGGATGATTGGCCACCAGCTGAGCATTGACGCACAGCACCTTTCGCCAATCAACGAGACTAGGTCCCCTTCACCGACAGTTGTGAGAAAAAATGACTTTGCATCGAGAGCCGATCAGCTTCCATCGGCCTCACAGAGCTCAACGCCCAAGGCTCACGCTGAGCCTTCTGTCTCAGGGCACAGATCAAACGACAGCAAGGGATCGGTCGGAAAGGAATCCAGGCAAGGCCATGCATCTACTCATTCGCCGAAGCGATCCTCGACGGCCGCACAGCGTTCATCTCAAGCTACAGCTCAGTCTCAGTCGCAGCCACACACCTCTGGTCAGGCTCAGGCCCAATCTTCCAGGGTCAATGGCGTTCGAGAGAATGGCCATACCCGCGGTGCCAAGAGTGAAAGCCACGGCCCTGAGAGCTCATGGCAGAAGGCTACGAAGGGCCGCAAGAAGGGTGCTGACACGAAGAACCACGGCGGATCCGCATCTAGCGAGCAGCCACCCAAGCACGACGCGGACCGAAAGGGCGGCTAAGGGTATGGGAAAGACTCAACACGCCGCATTTGCACACGTCTACGGTTATCGCTGCACGGCAGAAGGCTACTCAAGCTTTCTTGGATAGGGCACAGGCGAGATGAGTGGCCTCTGCAGACGCGGATGCTACCCTTTTGCAAACTTTGGCAATGCACAAGTATTGGACACTCTGCTTCTGGATTAGAGCAATGGGTTTGGTCATTGGTTGTAGCAAAGATGCTGCAATGCACCCGTGGCTTGAAGGTGGTGGGCGAGAGCTCAGAAATCGAGTTGGTATGGGGGCGAAGACCCTCCACGAGATGGACTTGTAACGGTCAAGTCCTATTCGAAGGAGGCCGCAATTGGCAAAAGCAAAGAAACATCAGATCAGCGAATAACCACGAGGATGTGCGGAGAGCAACACATGGATGAATTGCACAAGGAGGATGGCCAGTTCAGCGAGACGGTGTTGGCTCAAGCATGGAAATTGGAGGGGCTACAGCAATGCCTCAATCGTCTTTTTTATCGTCTCCCCCCTATCGAGGTCTCTCAAGGGGAAGGGGGTGAACACTGTTGCGTTATATCGGGCGGCAGGGTTTATTATTTGTCTCATTGCATCTGCAGCAACGGTCTTCGAAATGGGTCACGGTTAGGCATGCGTCATCAAGTTTCCTTTTGTCAACAAAGTCATACCATTGGGGGGATAGGGTACATGGAGAGGAAGCAAGACGGTGTGTGGATGATAACGGAACAAGAGCTGTATTTAGGATGGCTTCGATTGTCATGAAATACCCGGCGGGGAATGGTTGGGCATCTGTCTTTGAAGAGAGGTGACAGAGGAAGCCGGCATGACCGCATCAAAGGAGTGGAAAAAAGACATCAATGATCAGTGTCAGTGTAAGCAGATAGACGGGAAGCGTTAAAAAAAAAGGCCATCATTTCATGCACTTTGTGCGTGTGTGTGTGTGTTTGTGAATGTGCGGGGTATGTTTTTTGATGTGAACCCCATGCTGGGAGTCAGTCTCGGGGACGATGCCAAGTGATGAGCTTTACCTGGCTTTGTACCGCCATTACATATGTGAACGTATTGTGAAGCTATCATCAGCTTGTGTAACCCAGGTCCAAGGATAAGGGTCTAGGAAGGGGACGCAGGATTACGTCATCGGGATGTAGTGGTTTGAACCCCGCAATCAGCCTTATTTCACCTCAGGTGGCCCAGTGCTCCAATGACAATGCCACCGCGGTCCCTGCTTGGCAAAAGGCAAAATTCCCAACGTGGCCTGGCCGGCTGGCCCCCAAAACGTCTCGTATTTTGCCCCTCAGGTCCCCCCCCAAGGATGCAGCTGCTTATCCCCCCAGGCAGAAGCAATTCGTCTGTACCCATGAAACGCAGTCTGAAAACCGTCCGTTTCGCTGCCTTTCTATTGTTTCTGAGAACCGGAAAGGAGTCTGTCCTGTGTCTGCTACCTAGGTACGCACACGCACACTACTGATAAGTCTGTACCACAGGTCGTTCCCCATTTCATACCCCTTTGGCATCGGTGGATGTTTGGGAAATGAAGTGATCCCTGCGTTTTCGGCTCCCTTTGGTTCGGACGCCGCCGTCCCCTGCCGCTGCCACATCGCATCGCATCTGGGGTCGCAGCTGGCGGGCGTTGAGTGATGGGACGCCAACGCAGCCGGAGCGATGTTGCCTCGACGTCTCCCAAGATTAGGCGGTTGAGCAATGCGCTGCGCAAGATATCGAGCATCAGCTCGGCAAAGGACGATGGTAGTAGGCCTAGCAGCAGCACGGTGAGTTTGAAATCTCCACTACCCTGGGGAAAGTCCCACACTAGAGCACTTCTGCGCGCACTTCCATCCTCTTCCTTCCTTCGTCAACCACTACCCACCGGCTCACTGCACTTCCCCCCCCCTCTCGGACGTTTTGCGATGGCGATGAGACGCTCGAGCTGTCGGACGCCGCTTACACTGCGAGAACAGAGACTTGGCGATTTTGAGTTTGGCGGGGAGCCGATTGACGGGGGAGTTTCGTCCCGTGGGTCCAGCTCCGCCGGCGGCGTGGGCGGGGGCGGCAGCGGCAGCGGCAGCGGCACCGTGAATGATTCGGATGTCAACCTTCGACAGATTCAGCAGTCGACGCAACGTGTCGGCTCGACGCTCGCGAGCAAGGATGCCGATGCCGCGTTCAAGGAATATGCCAAAGTCAAGGATCATGTAGCCTTGTGTCGGGCCCTGTTGCGCAACTCCGCACCCGCACCCGCACCCGCACCCGCACCCGCACCCGCGCCCGCGCACGCGCACGCGCACACATCCACTTCGCCCGGGCCGCCGGGGCATGCGACGACCGGGCCGGCGTGGGCGGAGGGGGGCCGGGGACCGTCACGGGAGTCGTCGCTTGAGGTGCCGCAGAGCCCTGCGTCGATATTTACTCGGTCTTCTTTTAGCGGGAGGAGTCTTTCGGAAGTGACGACCGGCCAGAGCGCCGGAGGTTCACGTCCAGGGCCAGGGCCAGCAATGCGTGAGATTTGCCTGTCCGCCGTCCGCGACTGGAAGGGGTGCATCGAGTCGCTGGTGGAAGCGCTCGAGATCTCGCTGTCAGAGACGTATCGAAACTACGAGCCAGACGCCACGCCGAGCATGGTGAAGGCGCTCTTCCAGGATAAAGTCTTCCGCGCCGCCGCGATCCAGCAGATGAGGCGGACCAGTATCGTCAAGACGTTCTCGCCTAGCCCGGACTTTTTCCCGCTTTATGATATACGATTTAGGAACCACGACCGTGTGAAGCAGGATCTCGTCGAGGTCACGCGGGTTCTGCAGCTGGGGGAGTCGGGTGTTACGGATGAGAGGCCGGTGAAGGAACTTGATGTCGCGCCGCGAGGGGACGCCGTTCTCGAGTTTGCGAATATCGGAGCCGGCGAGACGGAAGCGCTGCCCGTGCTGCGGTATCGTGTCTCATCGTTCTTGCTGGCCGAGACGTCGCCCATCTTTGAGAGGATGTTCACCGAGCACGCACACATCGAGGTCCACGACGACGAGGACCTAACAACTCAGCTCGCGGCCCCGCCGACGCCATACATCTGCCCGGACGGCACCGAAGCAAAACTCTACCGCATGCCGCAGCTCGAACTCGACCGCGAGCAAGCTCTGACGATCCTCCTGCACGCAGCACACATGCACAACGACCAGATCCCGCGCGAAGTAACCTTTGAGCAGCTCGTCGCCTTGGCGGAAGTATGTCTGCGGTACCGGTGCACGTCGCCGCTGGAGCTGTTTGTCGAGCACCGCTGGCTGCCGCAGTGGATCCACCGGGGCAGCGAGGCGATGCCAAAGGGCTGGTTGCTGATTAGCTATGTGTTTGGGTTCCGGCAGCTGTTTACGCGCATGTCCAAGACGGTGATCTTGAATCTTGTGGATGAGGAGGAGTTGGAGGGGATGGAGTGGCCGAGGAGGATCAAGGACAAGGTTTGGGGGGTGAGGGGGGCCAAGATGGCGCAGGTTGAGGAGTGTTGTGTGAGTACGATTCGGGAGTATTTGAGGCCGGGTTGTCGGGGTGGTGGCGGTGGTGGTGCGGTGCCGTCACATCAGGCTGGAGACCGCGTGCCGGGATCGACGTCGTCTTCCGAAGTTACGTCCGCCACCACGACGGCCGCGAACGTTGTCCCAGCTTTGATGTTCACCGGCACGCCCAGGTGTCCCAAGGGAAGCCACGGCTGCGACGCGACGAATCTGGGCTGGCTGATGCTCATCTACGGCGAGCTCGAGCTTCTACCCACCATCATGAACCCATCGGTACTCGGGCACCTAGCTGGCGGCGACGGCTCCCAGCAGCAGCAATACTCACCACCCCGTCGAAGCCTAGCACAGCTCGTCGATCTGCTGCGAACCATTGCGAGTCCGCCGCTGGCGGTTCACAAGGGCGGAGTATGCGATCCCGCGCCGGCGTTCCGCGCGGCGATTAACGATATCTACAACAGCGTGTCTGGGCTGACGTTGCATGATGTCAGTGGGCGGGCTCACGGGTGGGGGTTGTCGAGGCACCGGTCTACGCAGCCGCAGGCTGTTTTGCATAGGGGGTTGAGGAGTTTTTCGGATGGGAAGAAGAAGAAGAACCTTGATTTTCAGCTTGAGCAGGAGCGGGAGCAGGAGATGGAAAAGGGCAAGGTCCTCGAGAGGTCTGACGCGGTACGGTTGTTGGTTTTGGAGAGGTGCGTGGACAGTGTGGAGGATTTACGTGCGGCGGCGATGGTGAATCGAAGGTTTTATGAGACGTTTCGGGAGAATGAGGCGGTGTTGATGGGGAGGTTTGTCGGGGACGCGAGGTTGAGGACGTTGATGAAGTTGACTTCTATGGATGTTGTCGCGGCGGGGGAGAATAAGGTGCCCAAGGGGGAGGCTGATGCTATGAGAGCGGAGGGGGAGACTGAGGCAGAGGTCGTTCAGGGTGTATTCTCTGACGATGATTTAGGAGGCCGGCTGGTTCGGACGCAGGATGTGCAAGAGAATGTTACGGATGTGTTCCTAGCTGTACCTTCGTCGCCTGGGCTTGGGCCTGGGGGAGGCGGCGGCGGCGGCGGCGATATTTCTGCGTTTGATGATAGCTCGGAGGACGAGGGCGAGGTGTTGAGCGAGGATGAGGCCAGGCGGATATTATGGCCTCCCGAGGTGATGGTCTCGTCTGCCCGGGAGTCATCTCCTTCGCCACGGCGGCTGCGTTCCCAGCCTCTCGGGTCCGGTTCCGGGTCTGACTTGATTGCGGAGAATGGGGTGATGAGGGAGAAGTTCCGGACTGGCGACGCTGTGTTTGTGGAGGAAAAGATGCTGTTGGAGGGTGAGGATAAACATCTTCGGGATGAGCGGGATAGGAGGGTTGGGCTTTTGCCAGGGGACGGGTGAGAGGGCTTGAGGGAGTTTAAAGGCGTTATGGTGGGCTCTGGGTTAAGTACGGAGGAATAATGGTGGTGGCATCAAGCGCGGAGTTTCTTTATCTAATTACGGGAATGACTAAGTATCGTCTTCGGAATACCACCCCAGTGTATAGGAAACGAGGGATAAGAAATACTCTATAACGAAGCTCACAAGATGTAGAGACATGCGGCTCATTCGGACGGAGAGCCGGAAAGATGTAATGGAGACCGGAGGCTAGTTACAGCGTCTCGAGCCGTGCATTCAGAGAAGCAATCATGGATAAATCAAATATAGAAAATGACTTGTGGCAAGGGATGAAGTTGGTGCCTTTAGCATAGCTCTAGCGATCCGGAGAGCTGGGCCTAAGACGGGAGGTAAAATAGGGTCGTCGTCTGATCATCTGCCACCGTCAAGAATTAGGTTGACCAGGGAAGTGGCCTAGAAGCTCAGACGGGTGGTACCCCTCAATCCTCGGTGCCATCCGTTACCCTTTTCCAAACTTTTGGTTTTAAACCACAATAGGGAAAATCTTCCTGTCCGTTTTGAGCTGTTTCCATATTTCTGACGATATCCCTCGAATTCGACGGTGATGCCCCCGAAGGTGGGAATCTTGCGGATGGGGATCGCGCCCCGCTGCGCAAGCCAACCTAGCCCCTGAATCGACTTCGCTCCTTCGAACATCGTGGCGGACATAGCTCAGTTGGGAGAGCGTCAGACTGAAGTCAACTTCAATCACTTAATCTGAAGGTCGTGTGTTCAATCCACACTGGCCGCATCTTCTATTTTGTCTTTGTCGACAATGTGTCTTTTTTACCCTTTGGCCATAATCTCTCATTTTCCAAGGTTTTTTTTTCGGTTGTCATCCATCCATGGACCTTGTGTAATTGAAGCCTGTTTGTTCCTTAGGGCTGAACCTGCAACGCCATCAAATTTTCTCACTTGATCAAATACATGAGTGGAAGGAAGGAAGCCCTCCAATTCGCGATGACCTGCTAGCTGTGATGATGTTTGGTAATCGTAAATAACGTTCATAAGGTATCTTTCCTATAACTAGGTTACTTCAAGCTACTATCCAACCTCATCAATCCCAAGATTTTCAAGCACTGCATCCGTGGCTCTCTTTTCCATCTGCGACCCCTCCCTTCTTCTCCACGCCTCCATGAAGAGAAGTCAGGCTCAAGCGTGCGGCCAGTTCCTGTTGAGAACGACACAGCTCCCGTTCGCCGACGACGCAATATCCTTATCCGTCAAGAACACGCAGTACTTTGCAACGGCAGCCGGGTCCAGCCCCGTCTCGCCGCGCTTGTACTCAGGCATACCGGCCGTGACCTTGGCCATGCCGGCCTGGTTGACGCCCTCGGCGAAGGCGTCCATGATGTTGGTGGTGTCCATGCCGCCGAGCAGCAGCGCGACCGAGTAGATGCCCTTGTCGCCGTAGAAGCCCGCCGTGTTCTTGGTGACGGCCATGACGCCGTGCTTGGACGCCGTGTAGGCGATGCCCGACGCGAGGCCGCGGTAGCTGGCGTTGGAGCCAATGTTGACAATCAGGCCCGCGGGCCCGCCGCTGCCGCTGGCGCCGCCCTGGGCGAGGAACTGGTTGACGGCGTGCTTTGTCGTCAAAAAGGGGCCCGTGAGGTTGATGGCGAGGACGCGGTCCCATGTCTCCTTGGCGCAGTCGGCGGCGGGGTCGAACTTGTCCATGACGCCGGCGTTGTTGACGACGATGTCGAGGCGGCCGAAGCGTTCTACGGTGCCCTTGATGAGGGCTTCGACGGAGGATTCCGAGGTGACGTCGACGACGATGCCGTGGAGCTTGCCGGCGTAGGTGTCGCGGTATTCCGAGGTGACGGCGGAGACGCGGTCCTCGTTGATGTCGGAGATTACGACGTTGGCGCCGGCGACGAGGTAGGCTTCGGCGATGGCTTTGCCTAGGCCGCCGCCGGAGCCGGTGACGATTACGGTCGTGCCGGGGAGGCGGGTCGCCATTGTGTGTGATGTGTGATGTGTGATTTGTGAGTGGTGAATAGGTGTTTGGTGAGAAGGGGGGCTTGTCCCGAGTGCTGCTAGATTACGGGATGAGACCTTGAAGGTTTTGTTCTGCTATTCCAACTTTTGCAAAAGTTTTAAGCTTAACTAGATAAGATTGATAAAGTGGTGAAGCAAATTGCGTGATTGAGTCGTGAGTGAGTTGTAAGTGAGGAGTGAGAGTGAGTGAGTGAGTGATGTTGTCCTAGAGGCTCTTGATTTCTAATGAGAGAGAGCTCCTCCACGTGCGTCATTGAAGGTCGCCGCCGTGGGCCATTTATGTACAGCTCTGCATCGTCAGACGGAGGGAGGGGCTGTTGCGGGGCGATCTTTGGTGGGGGAAGTAGGAAAAGAGACGTCTCGATTGGGCGCTGACCTCGGCGCCGTTGACGTGCCCGTGGAACCCTCTAGGACTTCTCTCTCGTCTTACCCCTGGTATTTGGAGCGTGGCATCGTATTCGGTTCCGGGACAATGCAATGTTCGTAAAATCCCCTGGGCTTATGTCTACTTGGTTTTTTTGCCATGTTCTCTTGTTTCGAGGTTGGCCTACCTTATCCTAATGGAAGCTTCCCCGCGAAATCTTCATGGGAATCCCCCCCGCTTCCCGGCTCGCTTCCACCCCACTCCTTATGCTTCAGAAGCCCGGGTATCTGGGCTGGGATCATCCCGTGCGGCAAGGTTTACTGGCCTTGACTTGTTGCATATGTCGCTGTGCTTAATATGAGAATGAAGTATTCATTGCCATGTGTGCTTCTGACGGGACTTTACGGTAGAATCGATGCCGGGTGGGAAATAGCCGCTGATGCCCCTCCTAAGCTAGGTATATCTGAAGACCCTCATTGTGTCTTATCATCTGTTCTAGGCAGGCATTGTCCTAAGCGATGCTCAATTCTGGTCATGAATGACGGACCTGGCTGCAGATCATGGCTGCGCTTGAGCCATGAGGTTGTAGCGCTTTTGGATGACGGGTGCACGATGGTTGCAAGTCGATGCGAATACGGTGGATTGCTCCCCCTGTTCGCATCTCGCATTCGGGTTTCTCATACCAGATTCGCGGTGTGTCTGCAACTACCCGAGCCCGTCACTTTATTGATTCGTCGTCCTGATTTCTTCAATTCTGGATGGGACGAACGCCCAATTCGAGGGCCTTGGGAGTTGATGATTGGATGTGCTGGTCTCGTTGGTGCCGATTCGGGACCGATGCAGGTAGCCCCTGTAGTCGGTGAAAGGGTCTCCATCGTAAGGTAATAAATAGCATAAACCAACGTCTGGAGAGTCTTGCACAGAAATATCAAGTCGATTCCAAGGTCTGGGCATTACTTACGCAGAGTCTCGGCAGGCCCTTGTGCAGCGGAACATGGGACTTGCGCCGTAGTCCAGCATTGGGAACTCTTGCTTACACAGCTTTTCATGCAAAACCATTCCTAGGCGAAAGCGAGGTCACTATGTTGAGGGATTGGAGAGTCGGTTTGAACTTTTGAATAGACCAATTTTTGGAAAACACAGCCAACAAGGCAGCGTAACAAAGGGATGTTCCGAGATGATTTCTACTTTGTGTGTGAGGAAGAGGAGACAAGAGTCAGCCCTCCAATGATATTTCTAAAGAACTTACACCCTAGTCACTGTCGGTATAGACGCAGCCTTCTTCTTTTTCTTCTTCTTGCCCCTGGTGTCCTCGTCACCACAAATCTCCTCCCACTGGTCGAGAGCCGACCAAGACGAAGGGGATTGCGAGGACCTACGAACCCCAGGAATAACCTTGGAAAGGTACTTACCAAAGAACCCCTTCACTGTCTCAGCAATGCCTTTCGGCTCCTTCTCAGTCGGTAAACTAAGGACACTATCATTCTGACAAGGGCTCGTCGATCGGCTCTGTTGCACACCGTGTGATAGTGACCGAGTACCTAGGCTGCTATCTGAGCGCTGGTGGCAGGGCATGTCCAGGCCCGTTGTGATATTGAGTGAGTCCCAGCGGCAGACACGGCACTGGTTGATTCTTGGCTTCTTTTCGACGTACACTCGTCCTTGGTTGGGGCAGTAGGTCTTTGCGTGTTCAAAGGTGTCGGGGAACGTCCACGTTCTCCTTCGGCATATGATGGGGATCTCTTCTATAAGGGCGATGCCTCGGCAGGTTCTGCACTCGTCGACGACTTGGTTGATGCCGCACATGATTTCTTGTTAGCTATGGTTGTTGTGACAAAAGTTGTGTAGTATAGTGTTAGTCGTTGCGTTGCCTGTTGGTAGGGTTTGATGAACTAGGATGCGGAATATTGTCCCAGCGAGCAGAAAAACGGCTTTATATAAAGGAGACTGAAGAGTTTATCCAAGACAAGGCCATTGTCACCGAATCACGTCTATTGTTAAGTGACCAGAGCTTATGAGTGATCTACGCATGGTGCTTTGGATTGAAAGACCTTTGATTGCCACAGCCACCCATCTGGACAATGCGGGCAAAGACAGCTGGGTGCAAGGAGTTGATCTGAATTGCGGTAAAGAAATCACTTTTTCGCAATGCTTTGGAGCGGCGGGTAATCGAAGAGAAATAGTGTTCTCTCAATCGAAGCTGCAGGTAAACGGGATGGGCAGTCTAAGTTTGGTATACTTCAATGACTTCAATCATTTACAACTTGCTAGTGGCTGTTTATCTACAAGAATAACTCAGTCTCAATTGGTGCATTTGAGGCGGCCTTTTGCTGCGTCTTTTCGAGTGAATGATGTCTTCTCGGTGAGTAGCAGGTGAAGACACCTTTGACCGAGACAAGCAGAGAAGATGAGAAGTTGTCTTCTTGGGCAACGAATAAACAAGAAAGTATTCAATTTCTCAGTCATAATCGTCCTTCGTATGTTGATTCCATCTTACCGACCGTCAATGGACTGAATTGGCTGATTCTAGAGGAACAGACCTGAAATCTAAGGCGGGTGGCGGAATTCTCGGGCACCGCCCCTGAGGCATCAAAAAACGTCACCTCGAGTTTTTTCTATCAACGCGCGCTACTGCAACTTGTTAGCCAGGAACCACGTGCTCGTCAGGAGGAAAGAAACAAAAATGCATTGAAACGGAGGCTTCCACAAACCGAAAAGCTCTTGATTGCTTTCTAGCATTTCTTGTCCAGAATGACGTCTGCCATTGGGATGGAGGCGGTTGTCGCGGTAAATTCACCACAACACTCAGAAGCTTTCCATCACTGGATTCACTAATGAAAAATTGCAGGCCGCAGCGGGCGCCACATTGAGCGTGGACTTTCTCATCCATCCAATGGACACGCTCATCACACGGATGCAATCGCCAATGTACACAACGCAGTACAAATCCGTCAACGGCGCCGTCAGCCGGACGCTCTTCCTCGGGCTGTACCAGGGGTTCGGCCCCACCATCATCACCAGTATTCCATCGTCGGCAGCCTTCTTCGCAATCTACGAGGGGCTCAAGGGCTACTCGCTGCGCGCGAAAGAGGAGGGCCGCTTTTCGGGCGTGCCGTTGCCTGTTTTGTACGGTGCAAGCGGCGCGACGGCGAGTCTTGTTAGCTGTGCTATTACGAATCCTGCCGAGGTGTTGAAGCAGAATGCGCAGGTGTACAGGGGCGGCGGCAGCGGTGCGTCTCCGACTCTTACCACGTTGAGACGCTTTGCGAAGCAGCCGACCAAGTTGTGGGCTGGGTATACGGCGCTTGTGGCGAGTGATTTGCCCAATACCACGTTGATGTTTTGTCTGTACGAGACTCTCAAGGAACGGTTCCTCGGAGGGGAGACCAAAAGCAAGGAGAGGAGCGTGCCACAGCAGGTCTTTGCGAGCGGGCTGTGCGCTGCTGTTGCTGGGAGCGTGTCGTCGAGCTTGTTTGTGCCTATTGATGTTGTCAAGACGAGGATGAGGCTCGCAGCTGGCGGGGAGGTGACTGGCGAGAATGGGGCTGCTAAGACACCGAGTGCAGCTCCTCGTGCAAAGATTGGTCCGATTGCAGTAGCCAAGGGGATTGTCTTGAAAGAAGGCGTTCGTGGGTTGTTTAGAGGTGCCACGGTTACGGTTCTGGCGTCGGCTTTTGGGGGCGGGCTGTATATTGGCTGTTACGAAGCCATCAAGATTTATCTGAGCTAGAAAGGCTTTCAGATTTGTACAATATGTAAACATAACTTAGACAGCAGGGACGCGAGTCTTGTAATACCACTCTTCTCGATTCAGTAGTTCCAGGGGTATCCGGACTGCGTGTATCAACAACGACTGCAGCTCAAAGAGACGAACATTAATGTTGCTGCAAGTGTCTAGGTAATGAATGGCCTTAATACGAATCCGAATGCAAAAATTGCCATTGACCGATTGTATCATCTTCGGCGACGGTCGCTTATTAACGACAGGTGAAGGTTCCGAGTGGTCAAGCTCGCGAAGCCTCGGGGATTGACACCAATGTGCCTTCCTCCACGTGACTCTCCTACCTTCCGTCACCTGAATATACACAGGAAGTCCCATATAAGTCCCCCCGATTCCTTTTCCGTCACCAGCCAGCAGGCACCCGTCTAGGTCGACGGTTCAGGTCAAACTGGCTGGGTGGTGGAGTGGTTTAAGGTCAACAATCAAATTGCCCACAGCCTTACTCGACGACAGGCTGCCCGAGTTCGAATCCCAGCATGAGCACCAAGAGAAGTAGCCACACCGGTGGTGAACTCTTTTTTTTGCCTTCAATCCACATCTATATTCAACACTATGGACCTTTCAAGATTCCCAGAGTGGGGAAGAGCCATCCATGCATGCATGGTACGATATATAAAACCTCCATTAACTAACCATCTGGCTACACATAACAATAGACACCGTCTGCTTTTAGGCGTCGGCAGCGGCCTGGCCACACTGGCCAGCGACAACCTTGACGTCGCCGTTGACGTCGCACTGGCCGTCTGCTTGGCAAGCGCCAGCACCAGTTCCATCGGTGCAAGCCAGGCCAACGAAGTCGGCCGCCGCATCCGCGTCCGCTGCTTGGTCGGCATTGGCATTGTCGTCGGCGTTCGCATTGTCATTTGCGTTGTCCTGGTTGTTGTTGTTGCCACCATTGTTCTGGTTGTTATTGTTGTTCTGGCCGGCATTGTTGTTGCCGCCGTTGTTGCCGCCGTTGTTGCCGGCATTGTTGTTGCCGCCGTTGTTGCCGGCGTTGTTGTTGCCGGCGTTGTTGTTGCCGGCGTTGTTGTTGCCGCCGTTGTTGTTGCCGGCGTTGTTGTTGCCGGCGTTGTTGTTGCCGCCGTTGTTGTTGCCGGCGTTGTTGTTGCCGCCGTTGTTGCCGCCGCCAGCTCCTCCGGCACCACCGGCACCGCCGAATCCTGCACCTGCACCACCTACGGCACCTCCACCACCGCCACCTCCAAAGCCGCCACCTCCAAAGCCGCCACCTCCAAAGCCGCCACCTCCAAAGCCGCCACCGCCGCCGCCGAACTGAGGAGCAGGTGCTGTACGCAAAGCATGTCAGTCTTGTTAAGACTTGAGAAGAGGATGGATAGAGAAAGACTGAGCGAGGGACTTACCTGTCAAGGCATTGCCTGTGAGAAGACCAATGACAAGGAGAGTGATAGTCGTGTAACGCATGTTGACGTATGTGCCAAAGTCCTGTAAGTGCCTAGGAATGGAGGAGGATTACAGGTAGGTTGAACAAAGATGGGATTGACTGAATCGAAAAGGTGCACAGCACTGAAATGAAAGGTTACAAACAAGAAGAGAGCACCAATTTGGATCACGCAGTGACTGAAGAGCAGAGGAGAGAGAGAAAAGTCAGTCCCAGCTCGAAGAACATCCCGATCCTTATACCTGCACCACTCCGCCCTCAAGTGCCGTCCCATCGAAAGGGCATCGCATGGGCCAAAAGAGGTTCACCCAGCCAAGCAGCAGCAGCACCAGTGGCCCCAGTCGCTCATGTCCACAAGACCAGACGGCTGGGCGTCAGACATCCGATCTTGGCCAACATCACGACAAGCATTCCGCTACATCGGAAGTTTAGATGGCATGCCCGTCGTCCGGAAAACCTCAAACATGGGCATGGGGTGCTTTCTTCCGCCCCTTGTTGGATGGAACACCTACGTCGTCACCCTGGTCGGGTGTGATGGAAAACCTTGAATACCTTAAAGGTAACAAGGCAAACAATCCAACGAACCAATCTAGGGCCACCGCACCTCACGCGACCAGCCTTGTCGACCCATCGGCGAGGGCGTCTATAAGCTTCAATTCATGGCTATTTCTCTGGGGAAAAGGGGGCGCACACCCGGACCCGGGCCCCGTCAGCTGGGGGGGTTCGACGTGCAGCGGGACATGTTTTGGAAACCCATGTCTACCGAGCCGCCTAGCCTTCGACATGCGGCGGGCGGGAATAAGGAGTTGAGTCGCGGTCACGGCTGCGTTGCTGTGGTTGAGCAAGAGGGAGAGAAGGAGGGAGAAGAGTGATTCCCGAGAGCCTCACGGTTTCTCTGACGTTACTTCGCGCTCCTTAGCCCCCCGCATTTTCCCCTGTTTCGACTGAGCTGTGACAGCTGAGCCAGGCGTGTTGCGCGGTCCGATCTACACGTAATGTGGGTGCTGCCCGGGGGCGCCTACTGTGGTTTGTCGCGAGTCTAGAAGATCTTGACTTGGCTTGTATGAAGATGCGAAGAAATATGTCGTGCAAGCCGGGGGCCCGGCCGGTTAGGAAATTGTCTTGAATGACGAGTTTGCGCTTGTGGATGCTCTCCTCTGAAAGGCTTGGTAGACAAATGTACATAAATGCTGCTGCCGGTAGAATCGATGTTAGTCCGTTCCATGTATTGTGATTCTCTTCTCACTTTACTCCTTGTCGTCTTAAATAAAGAAAACAAATGGTGTTGTAGGCAAAGAGGGACGGACACACGGGCCGACGGGGATGAAGCCTAAAACAATCAGTTCGAGATCAGTGCAAACAAGAGAGACAATGTCAAATGTAGCCTGCCCTAACCTTTACTGGTCAAAACATGCGTGCTATCTGCAGTCTATCAACCAATATAGCTTTTGGCCGACTCAAAAAAAAAAAAAAAAAAAAAAATAACCATGCGGCCAGTGTGGATTGAACACACGACCTTCAGATTAAGTGATTGAAGTTGACTTCAGTCTGACGCTCTCCCAACTGAGCTATGTCCGCCGCGGTTGGAAAAACTCGAGGGTGGACGTTATACTTAAATTAAAGCTTTGCGGAAAATTTTGGTGGATAATTTCCGAGGACGGCCCCACCGCGGTTGGAAGTCATCGGGAAGGAACGACACCGAATGCTCACATCTCACAAGACCCTTTTGATGTCTTCTGCTGAACACGTTAGCATGGATAATCATACACAACGCCAGGATCTGGAGGAGAGTTTCTTACTTCAAAGCCAGGGAGATTCCTCGGAATTAGAAGCTTGTCATCTTCTTACTTCACAGTTGATTCCAACATCCCTAGCGAACTGTGATCGTGGAGGAAGGAGCCACCGAGCTGCTCGTGCCGGGGTAAGATGCCGTAACTTGTCATGTCCCCGGCGCTTGCCTTGGGGTCTGTTCAAGAATAACAAGGAAGGGACCTACCTCACCTCACTTTAGGTACCTCATCTTCAGGTAGTGAGAACATGGAAGTCACGACCGGGCTGGCCTGAATTGGGATGATTACATTATCATTTGATGACTACCTCAGGATCCAAACTCCAACGTCAAACCTCGCTCCGTTCGCCATTCTGTTTCCCCAACTAACATCAAGTGATGCGAAGAAAAAAAAAAGTCAAAATGTTTCCGCCCTTCATCGCCCCAAAACTCAAGTTTCCCGAGATATATCCTGTCCCTGTCTCCAGGTATAACATATGTACTGCAGCGTCGTGATGGGATGCATTTTTTGCTGACACTGTTACAAGACTCCACCTCTTTGAGGACTAGATGAATCCTACCCGAAATTCATCTGCAATACCAGTCGGGGCCCTCAGTCCAAAGTCTGGCCGTCTCGCGTCAACTCGCTCACAAGGCGGAGGAATCACTGGCGGTGGGCTCATCTGTTGAGCCTCTGCCTTTTCTTTCGGTGTCTGCGGTCTCTGGCTTCCAAATGTTGGACTTGCCAGCGGGCTCGGCAACGGCCAGTTCGCATCGTTCGAGGCCTCGGGAATCAAGCTGTTCGGCGTGGGAGGCTGCGGCGACTGCATGCGAGGTGAAACCATTGCGAAGTTTCCGTGGTGGACGTCCCGATCATCCCAGCTGGGCGGCTGATATTGCTGCGGGTTTGATGCCTTGCGCTGCAGTTCGACGGGCGGCGGAGGCTGTCGACGGTTTGCGGGTGTGACTCCATAGTTCCGCTCGCCCTCGCCTGGGGCGACCCGTCTCGAGGTCGGCGGGGGTCCAAGGTATCCTTGCGGCGGGGAAGAAAGATCATCGCGAGATCGACCACCGGAATCTTTCCTCTCTCTGAGCTCTGGACCTTGTCGTTCACGGCTATCGTACTGGGCACGTTCCGCGTCTCTGATGGGAGAGATCATCTCTCGTGCATCCGAACCCTGACGCTGTCTAGCAGGGGGCCAATCGTCCAGAGGCCGAGCAGGGCTCCGCAGCGGTCCTTCATATGGCACCTGCTGCGGTCTGGGTGGCGGCAAGCCGGCGCTCCTGGGAGGTTGCGGCAGAAGTTTCATTTCTGGCGGACGCGGTCGCCTGGCGCTCCTTGGCGGCGGGCTAACTGGTACAACAGGACTTATTGGAATGATTGGGCTCTCCCGCTCTAGTGTCCGTCCTCGTTCCGCCATACCAAAATCGAGTCCAGTAGGATCATTGTCGATATCCATGGAAAAGCTCTGCCTTCTTGGCGTGGTGATAGTGAGGGTGTCCCTCTTTGCGGCCACATTCTGGATGATTGGCCTGGGATAGAAATGGTCCTCGTCGCTGGAGCGTCCTGTAGACGCGGTTGGGGACGGAAGTGCGGCCGGCCGCGGCCTGTGAGCTTCACGAACGGCGGTGACTGCCGTCTTCGGTCTAAGATCTGTCCTCAATGGCGGGAGAGAACCATTAATGGATTGAGGAGGCGAAGGCAAGGCCTTGGTGGGCGACAACGGAGCCGGAGTCAGCTTGTCATCTTTCGACGAGTCTGACGGGTTAAGGTTGAATTCAAACTGTCCAAGAGGGCTTCGAGGTGCGTTGGCTGCGGTCGGCGTAGGAAGAGGCGATATGTTGTTTGGAGAGTGATACCCGCTTGGTGCAGCACTCGGCGCCGGGCTGAGAGCTCCGTCGCTCCTGGAGCCAGCACCATCACGAGCAAAGTGGACGTCGAGAGGGTTGACCCAAGCCTTGGCCCGGGCTGAGTTTGGTGTCCCCGGTCTGCTTCCTGATCCATTACATGTAATGATCGGTGGAGATGCGATGTTGCCCAAGCTGGTCACAGAACCGTTGTTCCAGCGCATATTCAAATTAGCCTCGGACCCAACAGGTCGAATACCCTTGACGCCAGGTGCACCCAGATCGACCAGGGAAGATGAGCCGCCATTCAGGTACGGCGCATTCGGATGACGAAAGTTAGCAGCGAAGCTCTTGTTCGACATGGCTGTGCCGGGGCGGGATCCGTTGATGAGAATGGGACGGTTCATGTCTTGTCCGAAGAATTGGCCTTGACCAAGAGTGTTTTGGTCAACCTTCTTCCATTGAGGCTTCAACTCAGTCTTCTCAGCGGGTTTCCTTTACAAAGTCAGTTCACATTCCCGCGACAGAGGGCTGGGAGCGCACTTCTTCTTATCGGCCCCGAGTTTCAACCCGAAAAAAGACACCATGGTTGCGTTATGAAGAGGGTATCAAGAAACTGTGTTGGTCAGCGGGATCGGCCCATGAAGCGAGATGGAGGGGTGGTGAGGGGCATACAGAACAAAAGAAAGGCATAAAACAGCTGTGAGCTATGCACAGAGAGAGAGAGAATGGGCCCAATCCCGGCAATGGACGTCCAGGTCAACAATCGAACGAGTTTGGCAATGCGAAATGAAGGAAGAACCAGTTCGAGGGGATTGAACAATTGGTGAAAAGTGCTTGCCACGGCTCCAATGTTGAGCACTCGGAGGCGTGGAAGGCGACCGAGCAGGAACAACGGTGTCGTGAAAAGAGAGGACGAGCGGTGGTGGTTATTGCATACGGGCCATGTCGCGTCTTTTTCCGGATGAAAGTGCTCGAGTTGTGGAGGTAGCGTTGAGTGATGGACAAGGGCGACGATCCTTATTCGCGGCCCCAAGACAGTTGATCCGTCATAAGATCAGGGGCCCAGCAGTAATAACGTCCCGAAGAGGGAGGCCAGGATGGACGAGCTGCCCAGATCAGTGGACAGGGCAGAGCTCCGGTGGAGTGGATTCTGGGTCGAGACAAGGTTGAGTGAGGGCTTGCGTTTATGAGCGGAAAAGCAACAAGTGTGGTGAGTCTCTTCTTGGCGGGATGTCTGTGATAAAGAGCGATGAGACTGATATCGATCCCTTGCAAAACAGGTCTAGACGTAGCCACCAGCAAGGAGTCGAGAGAACGAAGAGATGGTGGAAGATCGTGAAGGGCTGAGACGAGGAAGGACGGGAAACAAAAGTCTAAGGAAACGAACTTGCGATGGGGACATGAACCGGAGCAGACCGAGCTATTGCGACGTCGCCGCTGTCGCCAGCGAGGGGTGGACCGCGACCGACTGCAGTGTGGAGATGAGAACAGGCCCTCTCCCAGGCACATTTTCCCTCTTTGGATTGGTGTTTAATGAAACGGCAGCCCGGTGAGAGCGCGACACACAACGATGCTGCACACGTCCCTCGTGCTGGGGATTGGTGGCCGTATTGGCAATTGTGTATGCAATTTCGCACTTTTCCCCCTTTGACGTAGCTTCATATCATCGGGGGCAGGGCCTCCGCGCGCGCACGTCAACAGCTCGAGTGGGGGAGGTCGACCGAAGGTTCAAGGGGGGGGGGGGGGGCAATGAAGAAGAAGGGGTGACAAAATGGAATCCTTTTCGCTGCACCTGCAAGGAGGTCGTGGGCACTGGGCGCTTCATCCAGATTCGCACCCACAAACTCGCACATAGCCGGCTCGAGTTGAGACGAAGTTCGGATGAACTGCAAAGGGAGAGACGACCAAGACCCCTTAAAAAAAGGATATGACGAGCCTTGTGCGATTTCCAACCCTGGAGGCATTGGACAATGGAAGAACGCGTGATGGGCCACTTTGGAGGTCCCACGATAAAGAGCATACAGTTTGATAAGACGCAATCCCCCGGAAAATACCACCTCAATTGAGTCCAGGATCAAGGGTTTTGCGAGATTCAACACCCGCAGACTCATCTCTTTTTCGAAGTTTCTACGGCTTCTCTCCTTCGAAAATCTTTCGTTAGCCCACCGCCGGCCGCAAGTTTCAATGTCTGCGGGTTCTGCATTTCTGCAGAGCTCGGCCAACTGAAAGGTACATTACTCGAGATGCTCACCGTACCTGAGATTCCTGAATTGCGCGAAGCTTATGCTTGGTGTGCTAATTCGGGGGGCGGGGGGTAAATACCTAGGCCGGGGGGGGGGGAAGAAGGGGGAGGGCATTTTATTAGCCAGGGCCATTGCCATTCAGAAGAAACGAGATGCGATTCCAAACCAACGGTACGTACCTCACAGAAAAAGGGGTTCCCCCTGTGTCCCTGGACTAAGAGGCTCTTTTTTAGCTTGCATACTCTTTTTTGGGCCGGCTTCTTCATCCGAGCAACGAAAGACCTTGAAACTTATTTGTTCCCCCGGCCAGGTTGATACATCACTGCCGTGTTGGTCCATTGACGAAACGAAACAAACATGGAGTCGATGGAGCCCGATGATACCCTAGAAGCCCAAATAAACCCCCGACCACGAGGGACGTTTCTCCGTAACGACGAACTCGATGCCGAGGTGGGAAGGCATATCCACGATCTATCAAGGGAAGTGACATCAGAATCTCTCCGTCACAGGTGGACCGTCGACGTCAAAACGTGTCCAAACTTCAATGAAGATCTACAGGCGAGCACGACACCTTTTGTTTTCTCGTATTGCCTGCAGAAGTCTGTGGGCATATCCAAGGGACAAGAAACCCTCCGCCGGATCGACAATCCTCCTTACGCGGGCAGCCGCCTTGCTAAGGGCGGACTCGGGAGCCGATTCATTCGTCTTGAACAGCCCCCCACATGCACACGCGTGTGTGCTTCCTCTACGAATACTTGGATCACGCTAGACTCTAGAGTACGATTCTTCTTCATGCCGTCCCTTATCTTGGTGTAGCAAGACGAGAATAAGAAATAGGCCAGGGCCCAGATCTAGGGAGACGCATAACGCATGAAAAAGGACGACGGCGCCATCATCCGCCCCCTTGGATTCCGACCACCCATATTACTGAAGGAAAGCCACCAGGCTTTAGTCGGACGACTTTGCATCCTTTTGGTTCTCACTTCGCGCCGCGCTTCAGCTGACAGTTTTGTCAATAGCGTCGCCGCCCGCGATGCCACTTCCCCCTAAAAAAGACAAGAGGTCGGCCCGCGCCAGCTAAACGACGACTAATGCACTTCGCTCGGGCTTCCCATCGTCGGTTGGAGAGAAGGCTTTAAAAAAAAAGAGACCAAAAATCTCTCACTCGCTAACAGGAGAGATCCAAACTTGACAAAGTTGCGAGTCTGGATTCTCTAGCGAACGAATTCTGTCTATCTTGATATCGCCAATTTGGCTTGCGTGGCTTGTCTCATCTCGCGGCCTCTGCCGTCCGCCACAGTAGTACACGGTACACGATTGAAGCATGCAAAGGGGTGGCGGGAAAAGGAGATTCTGCCGCAGAAGACTATCATGTTCGCCTGCTCACATGCAACTTGGACGGTGTAGAGGATGGAGTCGCGCCCGGACGATGTCGTGTCTGCCGGTGAGTGGCCGATACGAGGTTCAATTGTGTCCTTCAGGTGGGTGAGTGACACTGACAGGTCCGTCGACAGTCGACAGCGACGGACTAAGCGTGTACCCAGAAAAAACACGCGACCGAGCACAAGAGTCCCAGTGCCAGGTGACAATGTATTCTGACTCGGCATTGTTGAGACCGCAACGTGGTGGGTGAGTGTGTGTGTCTTATGCTTGTTCATTGCCAGTCTACCAGTCTACCTGTATTGCCATCCAAACCATCCCATTCATGTGGCATACTTTATGATCCTGTCCCTAACCTCCCCCGTTCTGTGCCGATATTCATGTTCGTAGTATGAACGTCTGGCCTAGTCTAGACTAGGGCAATAATTGTTTACAGGCCGATGAAAAGCAAAAATTTCGGGACTCAGATCCCTTTCAAAACAAAACTCCTAGCTAATACCGAGTGACCCCATTTACCTGAGGCTTGAAAATCAATCTAAACAAATAAACAATGCAAAAAACCCCCCAGCAGGCAATACCTCAAGGAGACGATCTGTCTCTACTAGTTTCATGCCGTCTCAACAGTCTCCCTTCCAGTTCTCCTTGATCCACTCGCCCATCTTGTACGTTAGCGTCTCGTCGGACCAGCTCAGCACGTCATTCTCGCTGTACTCGCCCCCGCTGAACTTGAGCGCGACAATGATCCATTGCAGGATGAAGTCGATGAAGACGAGGTCCACCTTCTCCGGCTCGCCCTCTTTGGGGAAGCCGATTTCTGTCTGGATGCAGTTGGGGACTTCGTAAAATGTGATCGGGGAGTGTTCCGTGTCGTCGCCGTCGGTGCCGATGTCGTCTTTTGTGGTATAGCCGCCGATGAGGTCCGGCTTCTTGGACTTGTCGTCGTCGTCGTCGTCGTCGTTGTCGGAAAGAGGCTGCTGGTTGTCGGCGGGTGTGTGGCGGAGTTCCAGGCGGCGGGGTTCGCCGGTGATTTGTGCGTCCTCCTCCGTCTTGAGCATGACCATGTCGTCCTTGGGGTACATCATCTCGGGTATATTCATGAAGCGGACGTCGCTTGTGCCCGCCGTCTCGGAAAAGATCTTGCCGGCCTTGTTGAGGAGGTCGATGACGCGCTTGGCGACGGGGTAGGGCACGTCGGGGATGTACTTGAAGGTGCTCGTGAAGGGGGAGACGATGTAGGTGCTGTCCTTTGTGAAGGCGCCCTTGAAGATGTCGAAGCGGAGGCCGCCCGTGTTGACGATGGCCAGGCGCGGCACGTCCTTCCTGTCGTCCTTGTGGATCACGTCCGGGAGGACGTGCGTCTCGAGCCAGGTGAAGAGGCTGTCGTCGCCCGGGTAGGCGGCGCGGTTGACCCACAGGTCCTGGGGCGCGCAGCCGTACTGGTAGTCCAGGTCGAGGGCCTTGCGGGCCTTGGTGATGAGCTTGCTGACGTTCTTGCCGTGCTCTGTCGGGAAGGTTGTCTCGTTGAGGCCGGTGTGGTGGTAGAGGCCTAGCAGGTTGTTGTCGATGTACTTTCTCGAGAAGGAGACTGAAGACGCAGCCTCGTCGGGGACCTCGTCGTCGGCAGCATCTGCTTTGGACTTCTTCTTGACGTTGTTGACGGACATCCACCCAATGGTCTCGCCGTACCGACCGCTGGCAATGGCATACGCCTCCCTGTCAAAGGAGAGGGCGTCGCGGACGTGGGCGTGGCCGCCGAAGAAGGCAATGGGCGCGAACCAGGCCTCCTTGCGCAGGGCGGTGAAGATTGCCTTGAACTCGGGCATGCGCAGGCCGACGTGTCCGATGACGACGAAGAGGTCGGGCTTCTCCTCGCGCAGCATTGTCTTGAACCATTCCTCCTTGACCGTGTCCTCGACCGGCTGGACGACCGTGTTGTTTGCGTTGCCCGTGAAGTCGAAGATGAAGCCGAGGGCGACGACGTTGAGCCCTTGGTTCTTTGTCTTGAACTTGCGGTAGCGCTTGGCCTGCGGGACGCGGTCGCCCGTCTTTGGGTCAATGTAGTCGAGGTTACTCGCAATGTAGTTTTCTCTGTAATTCGGCACCGTGATGTCGTGCTCGCGCTGGGCGGCGTCGGCCTGGTAGAGCTCGTGGTTGCCCGTGCAGATGACGTCGACGGTCTGCTCCTTGAAGATGTCGTAGGTGAAGAGGCCTTTCGGGGAGGATGCGTCGTAGAGGCCGTTGCCTTCTACGCGGTCGCCCGTGTCGATGACGAGGAGGTCGACGCCTTGCTCGTCGGCCTTGCGGCGCATGTGCTCGGCAAAGGAGACGTAGTCGCCCCAGTCGGCCGAGTATTGTGGCTCGAGGAGGTGACCGCCGAGCCAGCCGTGGACGTCGGTGGTGTGGAGGAAGTTGATTTGGCCCCAGGTTAGGTCGCGCATCGGGGCGGGGACGGGGGAGGCGGCGCCGGGTTGGGCGGCGGAGGCGAGGGGGAGGTAGAGGGCTGCTGCCGCTGCGGCCGCGGCCGTGAGGACGGAGGGTGGTGATGTTCGGTGTTTCGCCATGGTTGTTGGTGTTTGTATGTGTTTGCTGGGTTTGGTTGATGGGAGGAAGGAGGAAGAAGCGGAGGAGCTCGAGGAAATAGGAAACCACACCCCGTTCGCTTCGCCTTCTTGCGGGGAAAGGAGAATGGTAATGCTGAGAGGCCAGACGGGTTTGACGTGATGCGTTGGCGAGTCACGGTCACGGGTGCCTGAAGGTACGGCTACGAATAGATAGAGAGCTCCTTGAAGCTGTCTCCGATGGGTGCCCCGGACAACCTGACCCGCTACGTCAGCGACGATCCCTCAAGGTTCTTGTTAAAATACCACTCGCTTATCTGTACTGATAAGCGTGAGATCGGGGGTAGAAGACTAACAGATACGAGCAGCAAGGTGTCTGAAACTGTCATGGCGCCAAAGGGTAGAGCTGGGGGCGCGGGTCCACGTGCCCGGAACAATCCCCGGACCTGCATATGCTAGGTACGTACCTGGTTGAATGTGAGGCAATGAGCTTGGGCCAGCACAGCAGGTACCCGTCGGCTAATGTTGGGTCCCATGTCCGGATGACATTTCCTCTTTCCATACTTTGTTCGTCATGGTCCATCATATATATGCGAAAAGGGGTTTGTAGTTGCTTGTGACATGTGAATGAAAGTTGAGATGGACCCAAGCTTCTGTCACGAATGGCTGCTTTTGTTGGGCTGAAAGTCTGTCCACCGGCATGATGAGGGGGAGGGGCACGGCTCGCAAGGACGTTCGGGACCATCGGTCCAGGTTGAACTTTGCGAGTAGTCTGGCTGGAGTAACGGAGCCGTTCACTTGCGTGCCGAGGACTCAGATCTTGAGCCTTCGTGACGTGGTTATCAACATCCAAGGTTCTGAGTTGATGCCGTTGAAGGAAGAGGCCCATCGTAGGCTCGCGCAGATCCCTTGAGTTTTGGGCATCGGAGCTGTGCGCTTGAGTCCAAGTTGTTAATAAGTCTGAGAGAGAAAGACGTATGAAAAGATGACTTATATGAAACTACAACGAGATTAGGATAGCCTGTTGGCCATGCTTCTATGTTAACGACTATGGAGAATCAGACTATCTTGATAACAGTGTAGTCAGTTGCATTCTTGCCGTCTTCGGGGCTCCGTCACATCTCTCAGCTACATTCAAAACCATGTACAGAAATAACGTCTCGGCATCGGTACTTGGTAACATCAGCCCCAGTTGTGGTGTTCTTCAAGTCAACGTCCTCAATAGTGATGTCTTCACAACCTCCAGAGCCTTGGCTGCAGTTCATATCCGCAACATAACTAGACGCGCCATCGCCTACCCAGTTTCGGATCGTCATGTCTGAGATCTTGAACGTGCTGCTTTCGCAGTCTCCTTGTTGACCACTGAAACTGGTGCATTGGCCAATGAGGAAGGGTGCCTCTCGTGTTGCGGTGAGATCGAAGTCGAGGAGGGCTATAAATGCTATTAGCATGTCCCTACGACTATGTTTGGAAGGCCTCTGTGGTGAAGATTGAGTAACTTACTCGCATTCTTGAGATCTTCACCCGGGTCCATTAGCAAGTCTTGTTCACGTTCAAGGGACAAGGTGAGAAGCTTCCCGGTTTTCACTTACATCCGACACCGCCTCCACCTCCATTCGGTGGGTAAGATACCTGATCTCCAGTCCACGTCTTTACATACGCGCCGTGCCGAGTTTCCAAACCCTTGTTACGCCTCACAGTGACGTTCTCAACGCGCTCAAACTCGCCTTTGTACTGGCCAACACTTCCAAAGGCTATACCCAGGGAGTGATCCATGGTGGAATCTTCAATTAGAATGTTGGTAGAGTTGCCTTTGATGGCGATCGCGTCGTCGCCGTTTCGAATGTACATGTTACGGAACGTGATGCGGTCCGAGTCGATGGTGTCTGCGCCATCCGTGTTTCTAGCAGGGTACCCGTTGTTTGTAGTGCTGTTGATGTAGACGCCGTCGAACAGCACGTTCTGCGAGTGTATGATTGCCATGGTCCACATCTGACTCTGGACCATGCGGACGTTTCTAACCGTCATGTCTGAGGCTTTCCAGATTGCTAGGGCATGAGGACGGTCAGGGTAATTGGACTGGCCCTTGACTAAGTTGTACCTGAACGGTGGATGTCAGCTCGAGTTGGACGAATCTTGTCGAGAAGCGGGATACTGACCATGTCTGTCCGTTGCCGTCCAAGGTCCCGTACCCGAAACCATCGACTGTGACATTCTTTCCGCCTAGGAACCACGCCGCAGAACCATTCTGGAAACCGGTCGGCTGCGGGTTGCTGAGCCAGTAGTCGGTGTCTTTGCTCCACTGTGTGTTAGGCAGAAGTTATCAGCACCCATAGATGGCTCGCGACAAGAAGGATGATGCTGTGTAATCTCACCAGCAACGTCCCATGGATCTCGATCTGGGTATTCTCCAGGTCAGTCGTGGTCATCATCTTCTGAATGTTGTACGTCGTATTGGAGAAAATGATCCGGCGATTCTTGCGGCACTCCTTAAAGGCTGCGAGGATGGCTGGTGAATCATCGGAACCGTCATTGTTGGCTTCAACGGTGCAAGTGTAAACGGCTCTGTCTTCGAGGATGTTTTTCGGAGAAGCCAAGGTTGAGGAGAAAAGGCCAGGAAGGGTGAACAAGACTACAGACCACTTGAGACCAAGATTGGAAAGCATCGCGGCAACTGATATCCGAAGTTGAGTCGATGAGGAGTTGAAGATAACTCAAGCACAGAGCAGTGCGATGTGATCGGTGCAACTTATACAACTATCAAGAGACAACGACATGACGACGATCAACGAAAAGCATGCACTGTTACTGTCGGATTGGAAGCCCAATTCGACCGTGAGTAAGGGTAGAGCAGGGGCCACCTCGAGAGAGTACAATTACACCTCGACGGTCCACCCAACCTCCGGTTGGAATCTCCCTTCTACTCCTTACGCAGAATCAATCAATATAGAGATATTGATACTTCGTCACCCCCAGGACCCTACGGTTCGAACCAACTTCCCTGTGATAGGGATACCAACAGTTACTTAGCATCTGCCCCAAAGGTCTCGGCATAATGATGATCGATGAGGGTGTCATTCGCTGGCAGTTACTGCGGCTTCTTCGAAGCTCAATGAAGCAGTATGACGATGGTTTCCTCATGTAGAAACAGTTCATTGAGAGACTAAAGACAACGAAAGGAAATCTCGTGAACATGAATATCGATCTCTGCAGGAATACGTATCCCGCCACCGACATCGGTCTTGTATGCAACTGGTGGACTTCATCGCGGTCACCCACCGTCGGGGGATGAAAGCACGAAACCCCATGTACGGAGTACGATATCCCCAGATGTAATATCTGGGGTGGATGGGCTTCCCTTCCTCCGCACTGCTATCATCCCGTTGGCCGACCCCGCAATATGCACCCGTTTCCCAATGCAGCTTGCCCCGATTCTGGACGATAAGCGGGTTACAACGCCATGGATCATCATGGGTGGGCATTCGCGGAAGATATGAGCAAGGCGTTTTCCGCCAAGGCAGCATCCGCCCGCCGTCGATGCCCCGGATTCCGTGATATGCACAGCTCGGGTTCCTGCAGGAACGACGACTGCCATAAACAAGTCGTCTGGGATTCTACAATGCGGGGTTTGATCATCTTCTCATGAGTCTCTACACAGTTCCGCGACAATCGTTGTCTCTAAGCGGCTCGTCGAGCCTACTCTCGTTAGCCTGGTAATTAGTTACATGGCACGATCATGGTGGATTCCTCAAACAATCCCATAGATCTTGGCAGATTCGTGGCTTAAGCGCTTGAAATCGACCGTTTCAGTCCACCGCAGACTAGCTAGCAGCTCGTCGATCACAACGTCACATGAATATTGATCTCGAAGCGGGTCAACGTTATGTATGGTGGGGTGTTTCCGATGGCTAGGTTGGCTATATCCAGAGATGAAGTAACAGATACACACTTCATTGACTCTATGCACAGGATATGTAAAAGAAATATTTTGTTCCATAACCACATCAACCCGATGTAAGCATTATTACATGTACACACACAATTGCCTACTATGCGACCAGCTTAAGAGCAGGTGCCGAAAATGGGCTGGCAACCGGCGCCGCAGTGAGCAGTGGTAGTTCCGCAGAAGCCGTACTCAGAGCAGCAAGTGCTGTCGGGACAGGTGTAGCCGTTGGAGCCACCACAGGAGCTGTCGGGGCTGACGCCGCCGGTGGCAGCGGTCTGAGTAGCAGCGGGAGCGCTGGAAGTGGCATCACCGCCGGAGGCAACGGGGCCGGCAACACCGCAGACGCCGAAGAGGGGCTGGCAGCCGGTACCACAGTAGGCCTGGGAGGTGCCGCAGAAGCCGTACTCGGAGCAGCAGGCGCCGGCCTCGCAGACGTAGTTGTTGGAGCCGCCGCAGGCGCCGTCGGGGCCGATGATGCCGGTGGGGGTAGCGGTGCTGGTGATGGAGACGACGATCTTGGAGGCGGTGGCGGTGGGCGTGGAGGTGCGCTTGGTCTTGTACCAGTTGGCCTCGGCGTCGCCCAGGCACTCGCCGACGGTGACGGCGTTCAGGCCCTTCTCCTTGATGATGCGGAGGAACTCGGGGACGAGGTACTCGGCGGTGTTCTGGTGAACCTGGAGCGGGTGTGAGTATGTGAATGAAAAAGAGATTTCTGAGTGAAATCATGTTAAACTTACCTCGTGGGCCAGGGCGATGGAGCCACCGGCATCGACACCCTTCTCGAAGATGCCCACACTGGTGAGGTTGCCGAGGGGAGCGTTGTTGGCGTAGTCGAGGGAGTCGACATCGGCGTGGATGACGTGGTACTCAAGAGCCTTGAGGATGGAGAGGGTGTTGTCGTTCCAGCTGAAGTAAGGAGGGCGCATGTAAGTGGGGTACTTTCCGATGATGTTCAGGAGAGAATCCTCGAGCGAGGTCATCTCGGGGATGATGTCGGCGTCGCCCAGGGTGGCGAGGTCGGGGTGGCTGTAGGTGTGCGAGCCGATCTGGTGGCCGTCGGCGATCATGCGCTTGACGACATCCTGGAAGTTGTCGATGTTGCCAAAGTTCTCGCCGTTGACGAAGAAAGTGGCCTTGGCGCCAGCCTCGGCGAGGAGGTCGAGGACGTGGTCGGTGTAAGTGAACGGGCCGTCGTCAAAGGTGAGAGCAAAGTCACCCTCGACTGTGCACTTGGTGATGGCAACGCCGTAGGGAATGTTAGTGGCCGGGGCGGTGGCACTGGCGGAGGCGGATCCGGAGGCAGTGCTGGAGGTGGAAGCCGGGATAGTGTCGTTGTTGCCAGCGGGGACGGTGGTGCTGGGGACGGCGATGGGCTCGGTGGGAAGAGCAACACCGGGGATGGTGGTGAAGGAGGGAGCAGCGGTGGGAATGCTGGTGTTCTGGGGGAAGGGGATGTAGGAAGAGCCGGCGGCAGGCTTGCCCGGGTACGAGGGGACGTTGCCGGCGGGAGCAGAGGCGGCAGCGGAGGGAGCAGCGGAAGGCCACGAGCCGCCGGATCCAGGCTTGCCTCCTCCGGGGTAAGAGCCGCTGTTGGAGCCCTTCTCGGAGCCCTTGTCGGAACCGCCGTTGGAGCCGGTGTTAGAACCAGTGTTAGAACCGGTGTTGGAGCCAGTTGAGGATCCAGTGTTGGAGCCCGTGTTAGAGCCGGAGCCGGAGCCGGAGGAGCCAGATCCGAAACCAGTGTTGGAACCAGAACCAGAGCCCGAACCAGAACCGGAGCCAGTGTTGCCTCCGTTTCCAGGGTTTGACGGGGGAGGGTAAGAGCCGCCGGGGGTGGAGGGAACACCCGGGATGGTGGTGTTCACGGGGTAAGGCGGGAAGTGAGCTTTGGTGCTGCTCGGCTGAGGGGCGGGGAAGTCCTCATCGCAGAAGGTCTCGTTCGAGGTCTGGCGGCGGAAGGGAGAGGCAGCCGCTCCGGCCACGAGGAGCGAGGTAGCAACGGTCTTGAAATGCATGATGCGAAAGAATGACTAGTATTATATAAAGAATGACTTTGGTAGTTAGAAACGAGTGACGGTGTCTTATAACAAGAAGACAGACAGTTGACTAGTAGTAAAGAAGAAGAGAAAGACTAAGAACTACCAAAGTTCGACACGGCGAGCCGCCCATATATTCCATCCAACGCTGCCAAGTCTTCATGGACCCCCCTATGCGCCCATGCGGGTGGGTTGTCAGCTTTGCAGCACACGAACAACCTCATTCATGTTCATCCCGTTTTAATTGCCAAGATTCACGGCCAAGAACTCCAGGCCCAAGTTCCCAACTCCCCAAACAAGGCCGAGTCATGGTTGGGGGTTCCTCGCTTGGGCGTTGCACCGCCCTGCAGGAAAAGCAAAGCAACCTTGTTAGCTCGGCTTGGCATCCGTAGAGTTGGCCAGCTGGCTGGGAAATGGAAATGGGAAAGAGGTCGAAAAGGTCCCGTACATGAAGAGCCTGCAAGTTGCGGGAGATAAGATGAGGGCCACTGGCTGGCCCATCATCCGCGCAACGGTGTGAAAATATGTGCTCTCCGTCAAAGTCCGCCTCACGAGTCACCGTTAGTTAACTTCTCCGCCTCCTCCTCCTCCTCCCCCCCCAAAGTGGCGGCCGCTGTTGGCGACGCCTGCTGACGACGTGCGGACGCTCAATATGGACGATATAACAAACGGAGGTGCCAAGATACTAAATCCCAAATCAGGGCGGGTCTGGCTTTTAAGAGAAACCAATGTGATGGCAGGTTGTTGAGGTGTTGTCGCTTTGTCTCCGCCGGTTTGACTTTTCGAGTTGTTCTTGGTCAATCTCAAGAGCCTCGATCCAACCAATGAGATCCCGCATGACTCGGTATAAGCCCACTTCGATATCCTTATTAACTAGCTTAATGCGACTTGGACGCGCGCATGCCCCGACTGCTCCGGCACTTCGCCGCTCTTAGCCTTCTTTCAACTTTCAAGGTCACCCTTCAACTGTTCAACGGGCAGGTGGAAAACCCCCCGAAGCTGAACGAAACGGAGAAGTCCATCCTGGTTGAAGCGCGCGCGGAGACGGTCTCCATGCGCCATCTATATAAGATGAAAGCTGTGGCCTCGTTCTACCTCTCCGAAGGTTTAAACACTGTGCCTGAATGGGCGCGCCCACTTTGGGGTTTGCGATTCAGCACAATATCGAATTGTGGCTACCATCACCAATACCACCCCGATGATGTTTGATGAAGTGCGTCCTCTGCATCTCTGATGAGTTCACAACCGACATTGAGCGGCGTGGTAATTTGAGCAGCCCTGCGGCGTCGCATTTTCCTTTTTCGAACACAATTTTCCGCCGCAGGCACGTTGGTTCCTGGCTATTGCCTGATGTTGCTGCACGAACAACCAAAGATCTTTTCACGGGCAACGGGACCAAGACCGTACCACCGTAAGCCGACGCCGTCAGCCAACATCAGGCACGCCGCACAAGAGAGGGGCCGCCGGAGGCTCTCAGGGAGTCAGAGTCCAGACATCGCCGATGGGTGGTGAGCTTGCAAGGATCGTCGGGCTGGGCGTCGCTGCGAGCTGTCAGGGGCAGGACAGGGGTTGACTGCTTGTTTGTTGGAGCAGACGAGTTGTTCATCACAGGGCTCCGGACAGCTCGCATTCGTAAGGTCCAGAATGCTACCATTGGGATCATAGTTCATTACCTCAGCAGCTCATTTCTTCTTCTGGATGGTGATACTTGGTGCGTTGGCGTGGCTGACAGCTCCCCTAGCGTGGCCTCTTGTCTCACAGTCTCAGACACGGAAAGGCTTACTTCAGATTCGCGTCTTCAATGCCGTTTTGTTTTCGTCGTCTTGCGGCTGATGATAGCTGAGATCTGCATCTGCATCTACGAATAGGTATCTCAGTATCCGTACTTCACCGTGAAAAGAAACTTTCGCCCAACCGTCACTGCCCATTCGCCCCTTTATGCTATTCTTGCCTCTCCTCTCGACTCTATTAGCGTCAACTCTTCCTACATATCGTTGATCTTGGCACTCAGGATGCCACGCCATGAGACAGCGGGGCGCAAACGAGCTTGGTCAATGCACAGGCTCAGAGAGAGGACATGATCTGTGCGCTCTGCGAGCAACTCGCTTCTCTATGATGTATGATGAAATTGAAGAATTCTTCTCTCCAACACCTTTCAAGTGCATCGACGATCGGATTAGTGCATTGGTAAAATCTTCAATGCGTCCATTCATTGATTGCTAAAGACATACTGCAGTACAACAGACACACAGAGCACTTGGTATCTCGGCCTTCGATGAAGATATTCGCTGAAAGCACAAGCAAACAAGTACGGATACCGAATACGAAAAGGTATAGGAAACCTGTTTCCACACACTATCGAAACCTAGCGGAACTGCTTTATTTGAGTTCTTGTCAATTGATCATGAATGCTCCCGAGTCCCGTGGGCCGTCTGTCGCACGTCTGCGGTCCGCCAAAAGTATATTCTGCAGAGAGCCCACCCTCTAGAACCACAATAGGAAAGTAGCAAGCAGGGCTATCGTTACTTGTCAATCTCGCAGTTACTTTCGGCCACATGCTTTTGGTTTCCGCTGTTCCCAAGTCGAAAATAAGCTTGATAGCCAAATTAGTTTGGACGCAAGTCATTTTTACTTTTCTTAGTACCCTTCACAACCGTCAAAAACGGTACGGATAGACGTGACAGCTTGCTTGAGGTAAGACTAGGTGGCATCCTCGTTGATTTTGGCAATGTAATCTAATAGTCTCTATAGACTTTTCGACAATGATTAGGATATAAGTATGCGCTCCCTGCCCGCCGAGTATTGCCACACGAACATACGGCCTAAAACAAAGAGAAGATCAACGGTCAATTACGCCAACACCGAGTATGACGCCTAAGGTAAAGACAATGGGCTTTTGTACTATTGTGCCCCTTGCGCCGCGCCCCTGGCAGCCGTTCATGCCAGTAAAGTCCTCACAGCTGAAGCGAACCAACGGCCGGAATATTCAAGAATTATCCTCATCTGGTACGACTGAACCGAGTAAAATTTTGCGCACATCTGCGTCAAAGTTCCGTGTGTCGACGATGTCTCTGTTGGGAGTTAGTAATGATTGCCAACTTGAGAAGAAGATGACCGTCAACTCACAGTCCAGTCTCCTGCTTCAAATCATCATCCAACGCTTTCAACCGAGTCTCCCCGAGTTTGTCAGCAGGGGTGACCGGTTCGTGAGAAAACCGAATGAACTGAATACCGATCCAATTTTGTTGTTCATTGGTTCGTTGAACATGAGTTACCAGTCGTTTGATCGGGCCGTCGACACCACAGAAACTATCTTGGTTCCTGAGATTCCAGTGGCCATTCGTCAACACGTATATGCTGACCGGCTTCTTATTCTGGATAGCCTTGCTGACGACACCGTCCAAACTCGGGCCCATGTTGCATTGTTCTTCACGGAACGCCATTCCCTCGATGCTTTCCTTAAGCTCTGAAGTTCTGGTCGACTGGAGAGGAGGTTCGGATGAGGTGAAATAGACTTCAAAAGTTGAATTTGGGTCAACTCCTCCCTTTTTGAGCAAATAGGAGAGAACTTGGCAACTCGTGGCTACCTTCTTCTGATGGGGCTCCATCGACCTAGAGTCATCCACGAGAAAGATCTTACGAAGCAGACATTAGTTGACGCCAAATAACCAATTATAAAATGCTCTTACCTGATCACGGCCTGTCTCTCCTTTCAACTTCTGAAGGGATGAAGCAAGCTGCGGGAAGGCCTCTAGAGGTTTTCCTTTGAACTTAGACCTCGTGCTTCCCCTACTCCGGAAACTTCCGAATGGCGAACGTGAGCGGTACTTTCCTTCTATGCATACGTTCCAGATGGTTTCCATCGTTAACAATTCATCATTGAGATCTTTGGGAGACATGTGTTCCGGACTCCACTGAGAATGACTTGGAGGAGAGAGATCGAGGCCAGGTCCTCTGTAGGATGGCAGTCTCTCCTGTCGATATGGCAAGTCCTCATTTTGGAAACTATGCGCCGTGGTATCAATGGCGGTGTGTAACCTCGCTGGTTGGTTAGGTGCTCCCATCAACTGAGCTCTGTCATCTGTCGGTGCATTTGCCTGAGCTTCAATATTCAGAGCGTTTGTGACGTCTTCGGCTGGAACAGACTCTAGTGGTCTTTCCCATGTGAAGGATCTGCGGTTGTTTTCGGTTGCTGCATGAGCAGCACCTGGCACCGACAAATGTCGTTCGTGGTTCAACAAACTTCCGGGCCCATGCCTAGGTCGATCGGGTACTGAGTGAACTCTTTGGGGTATTGTTCGGGACTCGGGAAGGCTTCCTGGACCTGTCTCTTCGTGGATTGCATCTGGTGAATGCAACATAATACCGGGAGCGTACTCCGAATCCGATCCGGTGGACTGTGTTGCAACCATCCTGCCGGAAGGATGCCCTTCTGGATGTCGACTGAGTCGGCTCAGCGGGCTGGTTTCCCTCCTCCGAGATGTTGAATGAGGCCTCGAAGACCTGATCAGATCATACTCTGTTTCTTTGTGTGGCTCAACCAGGCTAGGACCGTTCATGATTTTGCTCTTCCATGCAGCATGAAGCTCGAAAGCTTTGAGTCTTTCTCTGGGGTCTGTCATAAGCATGCCTGAAAAGAGAAAATCGCCTACTTCCGAAAACCATTGAGACTCTTCACCGGCGTAGCTGCTTGCTTTCCGATGCCAGTCATCCACTGCGTCCAGAAGACAAGCTCCTATCAAAGCTCCGTCATGAAAGGCGCCCTCATGAACTCCACCTTTCAAAACAGTTGCACGGGTTTCGTTTACTCGATCTTCTTGATATCGGCCACGTCCATATTCTCCCCATCTCGTCCAAACGAGAGCTTCGCTAGCGACAGCACCGAGAGACCAGACATCGCTCTCCCCTCGAATCGAATTCGAGTCGCCTTGATCTCGGCATGCTTCTGGAGCACCTATAAAAGTCTAAGGTTAGATGATTGACAGAGCGGTCATACTATGAAGTGACGCTTACTGTACATCCCATTCCCCCAATTGTCCTCAGCATTCAATTCTAATCCTTGATATCTTGCCCTGTTGATGTGGCCTGTTCCCATGTCTGCGAACTTGAATCTTGCAGCATAAATGTTGTTAGACGAACTTGGACATATGAGAATGTTTTGCGGTCTGATATCTTGATGAGTTCTGCAATTTGAAATATCAGCTTAGGATAGACTTGAAGGCGTATGTTGGCAGTGACAGACCCTCTGAGTATCCAGCTTCCCTTGCCCCCATGGCTTTTTCTAAGGTTGTGAATTGCATCCAGACCGCCCAAAAGGCCCATCAGGCTGTCCCAGAAGATAATTCGGTCTGACTGAGCCAAAGGAGGAGGATATGTTTTGAAGAAAGACTGCAAATTTCCGCCTGGAGCATATTCAAGTATGATCGTCCGTAAACAGGGAATCTCGAATGAGCCATAATACTTGATAATGGAATCATATGATGTAGTCTGGTCGTCGAGCTGCGTGTACATATCTACCTCGTTTTCATAAAGCTGCGTGACCTCCGCATTTACGTCGCGATAAATTTTGAAAACCACGTACTAATAGAACGCTATTAGAGCTGAACCATGTTTTTGATGAGAAGAGAGGTCTTTACCTGCTCAGAAAAGCAATGCGGGTGTAGCTTTACTCGATAAACGCAAACATTGTCGTCTTGGATATTCCCTGAGTGCTCGATACGTTCTTTCGCGATGACAGGAATAATCTGTAAAGGCGGAAGGTGTCTCTTCCGCGGTTTGCCCCCTCCTTCAGTCTTGAATAAGAAGGGGCAGAACTTCCACTGTTCCTTCTGGAACTCCTCGAATAACCTCTTCTCTTCTGAACCTTCTCCCTCGCAATACGCATGGGGTGTGTCTTCCAGTGGCAGAGACGTGTCTTCGACGGACTCTCCTGTGAACAGTGGAATGTGCTGTGGCTGCGACATATAGACGAGGATGGAGAAAACAACGAGGTAATGCGGCTGGATGATGGAAGTAGTGTCTTTGATCCAGTCTTCTCGACCATACAAAACGCGTCTCATGTTATCCTCCGTCCAGAAAGTCTCGAGTGCACGCCGTGGAACAAATGGCACATGCTTGTCCTCGTATGAGTCGTATCCCCTCATGCCGTAGCAATCGTGCTTCTGGACGTACTCATCGACATATCGCCGGAATTCAGCAATCACATCGTCTCGCTTCATGTTCCCGTTGTCTGGCGACAGGTGGTAGGGGGTTCGAGTAGTTATGAACGGGTCAGAATTCCAAGCGAGTCGCTAAGCCACGCATACAAAACTCCAATCTGGACGTGAAGTATGTTCGACAGCAATAGTTGTGAGAGATGCTCAAGATTAAGGTGATTGCTGGTCAAGAGCAAGATGAGCACAAAGAGATGTCGTTGCAAGAACAGCCGGGTTGGAGTTTATTTGGTGTATGAGAAAGGTCAGAAGTTGAGGGAACTGTTTCCACGCAAGCTGCAAGCACGCCCAAGGCGGCTTTTCATTTTGGATGCAAGTGTAAGACCGCTCTGGCGAACTAACGAGGCAACGAGTGGCTGTTAGGCATCGACTCCAGTCAACTTTGGAGCACATTTGTCGCGCCTGCTCTGCTTTTGGAGAACCCGTCCTCTCACCATTGGTCGGGTTTCGTTCGACATTAGCCAGTCCCAGCATCATGAGTCGATCAATAGTTGGCTTGGGCTGTCACACCTGTCATAGGCTGGAGGTGTCACATCTGGTGTGCCTTGCTTATTGCTGAGCGGAAACATCGGCTCCCTGCATGGCTCGGCCATGTTGTATGACATGCAGCTAGCCCGCTTCGAATGTTGGAAATTAGCCCTCACCGGAGACTATGGATCGGGGCAACGACTCTCTTAGCCTCGGACTTATCGAATAGGTAAGAATATTATTTTCAACGTATAGTTTAAATAATATACCAAAGGACCCGAACTCTGTACTCAGAGTATAAAGGGGTCTGTACTACTACAGACTGTCTTATATTCTAGCATAGGCGTGTAAAGTCGCCCCATTGCTCATCTTCCTTTCAGCTTTGTACCAAGTCTGCGTGATGCATTAAACCACAAATACATACCAGCCTGTAACTTCTTTCCGTATCGTTACCATATATGCGTACAACAAGATTATCCCCAGCCCTTAACGTCTCCGTCTAGCGCTTCTCCTCAGTCGTACACACATGAATAACCAGCCGCCAATGGTGGCCGCAGTCAAAGGACCGCAAAAGCTCAAAAACAGTATCAAGTTATCACGCTTCCAAACAAACGGCTCTGCCATGTCCTCTGTCTTGTCTTCGTTCCAATGCAACACTCCACTCTGGAAGAAGGTCTGCCATCGCGTCAGAGGTTCATATTAGGCTGGCAAGACTCGGGTAAGCAGTTCTTACTGCAACGAAGGTGGCCGGCAGAAAAATCAGTGTCGCAATTGTGATGACATGCATCGACGTTGTTTCCTTCAAGGTCTTGTCCGTAATTACTTGCATCTGCTTCGTGTTCTCGTGAGCTATTTCGGCGAACCAATTGCCGATATAATTTGTGCGTTGCTGGAGTAATCGCTCGTACTTTGCGGTTTCATGTTAGCTTAGGAACGTCTTCTATCATGCTGCTCATGGAGGCATGCAGTAGGTATGCTTACCAGCTGTATACTCTGATTGAGGGTGATGACCAAACAACGCATTTGCTGCAGTCGTGTTTCCAATCTCCTCACAATAGATTGGACCTCTTTGATGAAGTTGTTGATAGGTCTTTCACATGCAACTTTCCCGCGAAACTCAGTGGCTGCGATCTGGCTGTAAAAGTCGCAGATGTCACCAAGGACACCAATGTCAAGTTCTAGAGCTAGAGAAGCTCGATGAATGATTTCAGAGTGCTTGTGCAAGGTTTGCATGTCTTTGAACCGGAACTGGTTGAGAATTTCCCACGTATCTGGTTGGGGCGGCTGTGGACTTGTGTCCGTTGTCCACGTATTAGTAGGGTATTGGCCACCAAGCTCCGGGTCCGCCATTTTGGACTTCTCTTGCCTGAGCCAAGAGCTGAGAATTGAAGATGTCCCGTTTGTCATTCGGGATAACATCGACATCTTGTTCTTCTCGGAATCAATAGTGGTGGCTAGAGTGCCAGGCACTGATTGACTTTGCGAGTACATAGTCGGGTTGCGGGAGTCTCTCAAAGGCTTTGGGTATGCGCTCAAACAGTTGGACTCTCTGCCAATGAGGTCATCGACGATCGCTTTGCTGGCTGGTGTTACAATCGTTCGAATTCCTGCCTCGGTCTCGTTGATAAACTGTCGCCAATTCTCATCGCACCAGGATAAGTAAACCAAGTGAATAGCCAGTGATGCCTGAAGATAGAGAGAAACATCTCCATCTGGTGTTTCAGTCTTTTCTGGAATCCTGAGAAGAGGGCTTGTTTTCTTTATTCGATCTTCGAAAGTATCGTCTGCCTTGATGGTAAACCAAAAGGCCCTTCCGGTTTCCACATCAAAGCAGTGATAGTTCGCAACTTGACGAATCTGCCAGTCCCAGACGCCATTACCACTTTCAGAAGATTCGACGGAGCGAAGAAGATAAGACAACTGAATTTCACGACCGGAACGGCCAAGCCTGGGAAGCTCCGGGAGGCCTTCAGTGGGGCAGTTGAGTGTGTCACTGCCTTTGAATTGGGCCAGGCAGAGATCGAGAGGCTCACTTTGTCGTCCAAAGGCATGTACCGGCTCCAAAAAAGAGGTATTGACTTGGTGATAGGAACAGATGAGCTTGAACATGTCCATAGAGCAACTCAACGGCGATCTCGAGTTCTCTGCGCCAACAAAACTTCTCATGGCTTGTCAGAAATTGCGCCTTGAATGTCAGAGGGTCAAATACTGTAGCTTACACATGGCGAACGTGTGGATCTTGGCCACCACGATTGAGATGCAACCAAAGGGAGTCCATGTCCCAAATTACTTCTTCCTCATCAGGGAACTCTACTGGCATCAGGTCAACGCCCTAGAAAAGTGTAGGTATTCGTTCCTTACGATTTCTTCTTCCAGTTTCCCAGAATGTTATCACAGATGCCGCACGATCAAACAAACAGCATTCCCTCTCTTGGAGGATTTCGTATTGCCGTTCCCCGTAAAGAGCTTCATGAGGTTGTTGTTTTCCGAGCTGTACTTGAGGATATTGACTGGAATCACGGCAAAGCTCCATGAAACGATCGTACGCGTCATGTGTCTGCATCTTGAAAGCTTTTCGTCTCGATACCCCGAGGTCAGATGTAGGATCCGGACAAAACGTCAGAAAAGGGCTAGTACAACTTAGGAGATTCTTGATTATTCTGAGGACGCGCGCTGCCTCAGACCGATCATGAGGAAGACAGTTGACATTTAAGTTAGAGAGGTAATATTTACATTTCCGGCCGGGTGGCGGGGTTACTGAAGGTCACCAGATTCTTACTGGCAGCGTGTGTGGTTTGCCTTGCAGACCTCCTCAAACACCGCCCCGTCTTTGCACATTAGCAGGACCGGGCTCATGCAGAATTCTGCTTTAGGTAACGTGGTAGATATCGATTACTGAAAATACCTCTGCTTATGACCCCAAACACACACCTCCGCTTCCTAGGCCATTGTACTCCCAGCGTGAAGTCTCAATGTAGTACGAGCAAGGAACATGTTGTGTGTCCAACTTCTACCTCCATGCTTGATCTGGTCCCCCATCCTAACCTGACCTCGATTTCTTCTTCTTCTTAGGTATCACCAGGTGCTGGACATTGCTCTTCAAATTGCTATGGTCAGTTTAGAGCGGCATTAGGGCTTGGTATACGGGTTTACCTGAGTGATTGTTATTGCGGCCGTTATCACATAGTCGCCGTCCTTGGACTGCCCAGGGTCAGCTCTATTCTTTCTGCTCCTATCTATCCCCCTCATTTCTCTACCTCTCTCCCTCTAATCTTTGTCTTTGTCCCTGTTTTCCTCTAAGTCTCTTCCTACCCGTAACCGTGTATTTCCACGTGTACTTTCGTACATGCCTCTCTTTCCTTATATATTGGTTGAAGGAAAAAGCTTAAATACTTACTGTGAGGTGAAAGTTGCCGGTGCCTAGATAACTCTGGAGCCAAGCCTCAAGGGCATCTCGTCGAATTCTGTACCCATTGATGGTCGAGACTATCATTGCGCAATCGATTCGATGATCCCATGTGGGGGTCGGTACAACAGAGGAACAATAACAGCGAGGCAAATTTTGAGGAAAGGCGAGAGCTGAGCCCCAGAATTAAGTGTTGATTTGCCTCGATTATCAGGGTCGGAGACTGACCACATCGCCACCAGCCCGTATCAACAGGCTATGCCAGGGGACCCAAAATCCCACATGCCGGCTGTTCCCCGCAGGACGTGACCTCACATATATAACGACCTAATTGGTCGCCTGATTTCTCACCGGCCATGATCGGGCGCATCGGTTCGGTCGTCTTGGAGCTGGTTGGATGTCAGACAAAACCCCGCTTCAGCAGGCTGGCACGGCTGGTCAGCGTTGTCATGCACGGCACTTCTGCCTGCATCACTTGTCTCACCGACGGGTTGTGTGATAATACCTACTGCATCTGACTGGCGTCCAATCAAGCAGATCGTTCAAGTACACCTCCGCCATCGAGGGCTTGGTTCGGACTGGTCCTAGCCCCTCGTCCAGTGTGTCAGCTTCGTGTAATGGATGCCTTGCCGCAAGCGACAGGCTCTCGTAACTAAGTCGAACCGCCTTTCAAGATAGCCTGCTCATGTAGAGTAGTACAGCGTACCAGATTATTTTAAGGAAGGGAGATGAAAACGACTTTGAAGAATCGGAAGTTCCTACCTTAGAATTGAGGGCAACTTGAACTACCCCCGAGAAAATTGATAGTGTGGAAAGGTGGTGAAACATTAGTAGAGCTGGTTGACTCTGAAACAATCTGATATCTCATCAAGATAGTACCTGGGTGTTGACTAGTTGTGGGCAGTTAGTGGATTAATGATAATGATGTATGATGGTTTTTTAACCTCTCAGTACTTCTATTTTTCAACACTATGCAACCCTAGATTCCTAATCTTTTACTACTGAGCTAATTCACAAGCGAGCACACGAACAAGCCTGTGCACATTGATGTATTTCTTCCAGCTTGGTGGCCGCACAATCAAGTCATCTGTTGTCCCAAAACCCGATCTGTCTAACATCGATTGTGCCCAATCCTTGATCTCATCGAGGAAGTCCAGAGACCCCAAAGATCTGCTTCTATCAAGGTCAATATCACAATGGTAGAAATCACTGAACCTGCGGTCACCGCCGTCAAAACACTGAGAAAGCCGAGCACCAGGCTTCAGGCAGAGACCATAGTCTATGAGATAGATTTGCGCCCTCCCGTCATCATCCGCGTCGTCCAAGGCTGTTAAGAAGCAACCTCTGATATTTTCCTAGTCCATCATAGAAAACACCGATTCTCTAATCGAATTGAACATTCATGAGTAGTCGTACTCGAAGACAATGCCCCGGGTTCCCAGGGTTCCCAGGAAGTCGCAACCAAAGGATTCGAGAGGGAAGCGAAGTGGCCTTGGTATGACCGCTTCCTTGTCTTTCCAAAGCTGATAGCAGAGGAGTTCGCAGTTGAAGGTCACGGCAGACGCCCGTCCATCAGTTTTGAGTTGACAAGTTTGACTGGTGAATGAATCTGTGGCGTCGGCGGAGCTGCTGTCCGAATCTGGCATCTCTCGTAATGTTTGACTACCAGAAGTCTTGACCGTCTTGTCTTCGGATTTACTGCGAGCACAGTCTTTGATGGCCTGCTTCAACACTGTTTGAGACTCCTTACACGCCAGCCAAATGCTAGCATCAACGAAATGCATTGAAGGTGTACCGTGCATCGAGAATTGTTTGCAATTGCTGGGCGCATGCTCTGGGTATTCGACGAGTTTTGAGGACTCCGTAGTGTGCTCAAATATTTCTAGGAGGGCAGCCTCTTTCTCCAAAGTATGCGGGAGCTTGGCAAACAGTGGTTGCCCCTTCATGTCTAGCTGATAAAGAGCTTGTTTCCAGATGAGAAGACGCAATTCCAGAGGTAGGTGTGGGAACTTGTGGAATATGCCAGCTAAGTTGGGTGTCCTTGACGGTATCATGGCACTGGTTTCTGGTGACATCGAATGGGATTCCATACTCTACAGTTGCTTCATTGTTTCTGTGGTGTTGAGTTGGGGAGATAAGGGTGGATTTCTTCTTAAAATGATGTTTTATCTTTGATTCATTTGCGCATGTGTAAGTAAAGTAAGAGCTGTAAGAAAACACACGACGTAAGATACTTCAGTTATTTATACAGGTCCTCACCAAGTACCTTGAGAATCGCGGGTGGCGGACCAAAGTGGATTATGGACTGATACCACGGATTTCGCTAATCTTATTGTTCATGGACCGTCACTGAAATCAGACTGTGGGCAGCATTTGGAATGTAGCAAGAGTTTCTGCGGTTGTGTCCGAGTGATTAGCTTGTGGTAAGTTCATGTAACTATGGGTTTGAGAGGTAAAATCGAAGGCAACTGAGAGAATTAGCGCATGAGCTTTCGAACACCGAGCCGATTCGTCGCACTTTTGGAGCCACTGATGGCCCATCATGTAAGGTGGATAGTATGTGTCGGAACGGCAAGGCTGATAAGGAGCAATGGGCAGGTATCGTGGGCTGGCTGGCGCCTGCCCTGGGCGAAGTGGGACAGCCGGCTTAGTCATCACGGCCGGTTAAGGTGGGGCAACCACCCAGGCCGTCCCCACCTACTTCGATCGGCCCCTGCCCACAATGTAAATAGGAAGAAGAACAATAGCAATTATCACGGACATCGACGTGATTGTTGCCGAAGATACACCCTTATGAGGAAATGTATCACGCCTGTGATACCAACAGTATGTGATGACGAGGGTTACCGAGAGATAATTCTTCCAGTCGTGGATAAAGGCCAGATAGGATTTCTGACTTCAAAGGACCGGAAGTGGTGATAAAAAGCTCCTCCTCCAGGCAGGGAGAAAGTAGACTTTGACACGTTCGTTGGGAGGGCAGTCCCAGACCTCATGCAGGCTGATGTTGCAAGACAATACAAATTTGGTCAAGCACATCTCTTGGAACTCCGCCCGATATTCGGGACACCTTGCTTTTGGTATCTCGATCCATGCTGGCTGTGCACTGTGTAATCTAAATATAGGGGATGCGGGACTATGGTGCCCACTGATGCTACGGTCTACCAGTGAACGACAGATCATTGAATCGTGATATGTGACAGTGCAAACCTCGATTGTGTTAGGGGTCTGCTCCACCACGTGGCATTACGGGCGTACGATCGACATTGGACGATGGGCAGATAATGCAGCTTCACATGCAAAGTAATCGACCCATAAGTCAGTCGGACCGTACGTCTCTGCTGTAGCGAATCCGAGAAGCCATAAGGGCGGCTTTCCGTAGTGTTCAATTATTTGCCTATCGATCCGCTAGCATCGTCTTTTCAATATGCATAGATTCAAAGTGTTCCCCTGCCCATCACAACCTACTCCGCGTTGACACATGGGCTGGTATCGTAAAACTCATATCCGGAATCATTATCCCTTGACTTGTTATCAAGACTTTATCATCGCCCAGAAGCCAGTTTGCAAGATCCGTCCAAAGGGACTTCGGACTCGCAAGAGCGGAAAGCACCATCCGAAGTTTCCAGTCGAGAGACACAGAGGATCCATGATCTTGGACGGTCCGGGCTCAGTCTGGCCATGGCGTGATCGTCTCAACTCGTCCCGGCGGCAATCTCTGATCCTCCCCTCGGAAAGCAATGACTGATAGCTGTTCGGGCCGTCCACGCAAATCTTCTGACAGCTGGATGTTCGAGAATCACGTGCAATGTTTGAGAGGAGTGCTGCATAGTAGTGCGTTGTTCGTGGATCTGCCGCAGGTTCTGAAACAAACCCTTTTTATAGGCCCACCTGTCATGGTTTGAACCTTTTTCTAACCATTGATCAGACAAGTTGAGATTTCCATGACACAGGATTGCTCCTCTTTGAACTTTCAACTTTGACTCGAATTCTCCAAAAGTCTGCTTTCCATCGTCAAAGGGGAGGCATTTACTGCCCACACAGTAGAGTTGGCTGGTGGATATGTCTAAGCCGAACTGTTGGGGCGGTGTTTCTGAGTTCAACTGAGCTGGTTTTGTTTGGTGTGATGTGGTTTCGGGACACGGCACACCCCTGCCATGGTTACGGGTCCCTAGATTTGGAAATACGGGCATTGTGGCCATGCATCTCGAGCACACAGACTCTGAGATACCTTGCTTACGTTGCCTCATTGAGTCTGGGCTGAAAGTTGTCCTGTTCAAGGTTCGAGCATCGGCTTCCCAAAGTTGTCAATACCGACACCTCAATGGGGGACAAAGTCGATTTCCTCCCATACAACTTGAAAAGTACCCTTTTCAACCACTCTCACCATAACCACTGCCCCTTTTGATTTAAAAATTTCGTAATATATACAGTAAAGTATACTCTCTTATACAGTATTTTTTTGAAATATTAATTTCTGTCGTGGTGCTGGCGATAATCGTGGTAAAAAGTACTTGTGAGATGTCGAGCGGAAATCCATTTTGTCCTCCACTTGCCCCTCTCGACATCAGTCGGTCGTCCAGTGACATAGAACCTAAGTTCTATGAGAGGTCATGGCCATCACAGCGGTGCGTCAATTTAGAGTTAGTGGAGTGCTCTGACTCGACAATGGCACGGCTATGGGGATTACACAGCGTGCGGCATCAGGGCTTCATGGAAGTCCACATGTTCGAACGGGGTGTTTCTGATTCCAGATTCGATCAAAGGTTGATGTTGATGGCAAAACAATGAAATTGGTGTGTCGGTATCTAACAGTTTGAATGAGAGGCTCATGAGTTGGAAGGCCTCATTCCAATGTTGTGTCCCAAATGAAAGAACAATGCTTGGACCGTCTCGCATCGCGGGGTCCTGTTTTAGTTTTTTGAACGCCTGTGTATCACACCCGTCCCGGCCGTTGGATATGCTTCCTCGCCCTAGACTGCGCAGATTGCTCGCTTCTCGCTCGTCTCTTTCTAATTTCTCTCATCTTTGGTCGTTAAAAGTGTTATGCGTCAATCATCTGTGTAGTTGCCCTAGTTCTTCACCCTTGAGTCCCGAGCCGGCCGGCTGGCCCGCTCGACCCGGCGATCGCCGTGGGTGGGCCGGGGGGTGGAGGAACCCCATCGCTCGGCCTCGGAAAGAAGACCATCTTTAATGGAAGCGCCTCTTTTTGATGCCTGGAATGGTAGAATGTGAGACCATAGAAGGCTGACGGTAGTTCAAAAGCTTTCACATACTGCGCAGAGATGACATCTATCGCCAAAGCGGGAGACTGTGTTGTGGCAGTGGATGGAGCCCTGTGAAGAGTCACGTGAGCCAGCTGATCGCGCTATCTCGCGATCTTAGAGAAGACGTACGTAGTAGTTGGAGCAGTAGTAACCCATTATGATGATTGTGTAAATGTGTGAAGCTTCGGAGGAGCAAAGATGTCAAGAGTTGAACTGGTGCGCGTGTGCGAGGGAGTAGAGTGGATCTCGAATGTTCGAAGGGATGGACCAGCCTGGGTACGATTGGAGATTGAGCAAATCTTTCTGATGTTCGCGGGACGTCAAAGAATGCCAAGTCGCTTGAGCACTTGGAACGAGATGGAGGAGAAGGACTTGGGAGAAACTTATACATGCCCCAAACGCCACCGCCGCCCAGACGCCGGCAATGGAGAAGGTCCATTAATAACACACACGCTCTTGGATAGTCCGGCAAGTTTCTCTGCGGCAGCAGAGCAGGTAGCAGGCCACTGCCACTTGGCTCGCTTTGCGTCGTCCGCCTCAACGAAACGAAACAAGCCTCGGAGACCGTGACACCTGTCCAGGGCTGCCCCCTTCAGGAGCTCCCAGTCGGCTTGTGGCCCGACAGGCAAGCAGAACTAAGCCTAAAAATCATCCGACGAAATAGCTTTCACTGTGTCATACAGGGGGGATGGAGGGGATGGCCGGACCAACTTTCGTGAAAGAGCTGTAGGCACCGCCTTGGACACCATGTGTAGCAAAGGGCGAAAAGAGGGGACGGTGTTGAAGCCCTGCGGGCCAAGTGCTACGCTGTGCTGGGCATTGGGCCAAAGTTTCTGCTTGGTCAGTGCTTCTCCGGCACGGTTCCCAGCTTTCCGGGAACCCAGCGTGCCCCCTTCCCCTTGGCCCCTTTGTTAGTTGTTGCTGCGTGTTCCTACTTCCTAGTTCTTAGCTGATGCTGTTGGGGTCCGTCTAGTTTGAGGGAGAGAGCGCTTGTTTGTGTTTGTGGCAGGCTGTGGGGCTTGTCTCTTGACGACGGGCAGCGACCCGACTCACGACGTCTAACATTGGCGGCTCAAGACGACGAGAAACAAGTAGGCAGGACAGTACCAAGACACAAGACGTGCCACTGCTAGGGAGGTTTGCGGGGAACATCGCTGGGCGTGGCTGGTGGTAGTTGGGGGCGAAGGGCGTTTGCTAGGCGTGCTTGGTTTCAGATGAGACCGAAGTGCAGAGTATGGCACACAAAGTAGGGACGGAGTGGCTCAGGAGGGTACGTGTACGGTCTCTTGGAGAGCGGGTCCGCTCGCATGTGCGGCATACTCAGATCAAGCGTATGTACGGATATGCTATTTGTGGTGATGACAGTTGGTGTTCCGGGGGAAACAACGGCAGGTTGAGCCTTGCTTGAGGTTGATGGAGAACGGGGGACCCTCTCCCCGGCGACGGGTTATGCGGATGGAGCTGGTCGAGACCGTTCGGAGGGGTTCCACGTCAGCAGTCCAATAGTGTTGAGTCAAGATAGGGCTATAAACTCCAAGAAGGATTGGCAGAACTGTGGTTTGATGATCTCATTCATAATACGGGTCAGGTCTCTAAAGCATGGAACAAAGGAGACTTTAGGGGCCGGAGGAGACTAGATCAAGACCAGATAATATGCCACGGGTACCTTACTTCACCCTTCCTAGCAAGCCGATAGACCGATGCGGGCCGCTACGGCGCCTCAAGGCGGCGGCTACTATCTTGGAGTTCAGGTGGCAGGCCTTGTGAATGGCCAATGGATTCGAGTGTCGATGAGGATAACGAGTGTGTCTATATATGCTTATGAAAGTTGAGGAGAGAGGTATGAAAGTGTATTGAATGGATATATGTTCAATTCATCGAGTGAGTGAACGATTGAGTGAGTATCCGTGAGTCGGCGCAGGATGACTAAGCGAGCCAGCGATGCCAGCTGATAATGGTTATGTAATAACTCCGGCCCGAGTAAATGACATAGCAAGGCGCGGCACGTGCGATGAGGCTAAGGCAGGTGGGGCCCCTGGATCCGAGCTCAAACTCTCCTGGGAGCTCCGGGAAACTTTCAGCGTATGGATCGAGTTCCTTCTCTTGGTGATTTTCGCATCATCCTAATCCAAGGTCAGACCACTTTGTGCTGCACATCCGCGACGAACAATTGAAGCCACTGGCGAAACCCACGATACACACATTGACCAAGAAAACACC